TGGACGCGTGCGGTGTTCCCCCGACTGGGCACCGCAGGCGTAAGGGATGGGAAAAAGTCGAACATGGAACAGCATGGAACTGGAAAGTGGCCGCTTTCTGAAGTGTTCCATAGAAAACTGGGAGGTTAACAGATCTCCACTTGTTATTCAATAGAAAGCCTGGCACATCTGCATCGCTCGCAAGTGTTGAGAACACGTGGAACGTGATGAGCTTTGTGCTCTTTAGCATGGTAACACAGCTCATGTTGCTTATGGCGTTTGGAGGAATGCTTTCCAGGCGTTTGGTGCAGGAACTCTCCTCAAGCGAGGAACTCAATCCACATAGAAGAGCTCAAGCAAAGATGCTGAGATGTGCAATGATGCAAAAGGGGAGGAGGACTCCTCGACTATTAAAAAATACACAGGGCCGGGATGAACATACAATGGTGCAGGAGTTTGTCCATTGGTATGCCCTTGATGCGCTTCTTTGCCTATAACTTTGGTAGTGGCAAACATTCTTCCATCCAAAACAACCAGGATTTGGGGCACAACAGCCACCAGAAACCAAACGGTTGCTGCAACGACCAAGCTCACGAGGCATGGCTGACAAAACGGTATCCTTTATATAGGCATAATTTCGCAAGCTGGTTCTCAAAATGCTACCTTTGGGTGGGAATGGTACCAACACAAGTGACAAGTGTTCTACGGCCTTTTCTACTTTGTTCAGGATGTAGCATTGCAGCATTCCACAACCAAAAGGATGGAACAAGGGCTAGAAGCTAGCTTCCCATCAAACTCCTTTTTGCCACAAGTCAAATTGAGGGGACCAATTTCCAGAATCTCCTAACTACGGCAACTACGGTATGTCCCCGTATTCACTCAATTATCTCCAATGGCTGGGCCGCATTCCGGCCTTCCAGCTGTCGATGATCTCTTGCAGCTTCTGCGCATTTCCCTACAAGCGGATGGGTCGAGTCCGCAAGGATTGGGCCAATGGGCCAAGTCTGCTACCTAGTAACAAGAAGCTATGAACTTGACAAAGGGCATTACTAGTAGGATAGTACTTTCGAAAGTTAGCTAATTAGCTTCAAGATGTCTGGATTTTATTTGTTCTGTTTGTTGTTGTTGTTGTTTTTTTTTTAAATTCCAAAAATGTTTTGATTTATGAATTCATTTTGGGGTATGGTTTTTCTTTGCCTTTTTGTGTTTTGTTTTATGATTTCGATTTGTGTTTTGTTGAATTGAAGTATGTATGATCATGATATGTTATGATTATGTTTTTTTGCATATGAATTGTTGCATGGTTTTTTGTATTGTTTGTCTTGTTTGTTTGTTATTTGTTTCAATGCGTTTGTTTCGATGGCTTTGTTGATTTCATTAATGTCTTGTTCACGTGTTTTCTTTGGGTTTTGCTTTGGTTTGTTGTGAGTACCCAAAGCATCCATGGGCATAGTGATTCCTTGTTTTATTTACAGGTTAATTGAGTCTCCCTCTTTTTGACGTGAACGTGTGTTTGTGTGGGTGAAATTGCTCTTGGTTGTTGGCGATAGCCTGGTTGCTCCTGTGAACTTGTGAGGAGTTGCTTTGCAATTGTTTGTATGCTCACCCATCCAGTGTTGATAGTTTCATCCTCATGGTTGATTGTTTGGTTGCTCCTAGTAACTAGGAGCAATCGGACGCTACGAACGTAGGGGCGCTCCTGGCACTACTCGAAACAAGAAGCTACCCCACAGGCGATCGGAACGAAGTCGTTCGTGACGCAGTCGGCGATCGCACATGCTGAATCAGATTCTTGGGGTCACCCGATCGCACAACACGAAGAGACACACGAGACAGAGCTGAAAATTGCCAAGACACTTTCCCATGCAGCCATTTCCAATTTGCCTCCAGTAACGCCTTGTCCTGGCAGCAAGCAAGCTAGAGGCAGCATGCGGATGTGAACCTTGTAAAGTTACAGTAAACAGTACTTTCACAAGACCTTGTCCAAGCTGGAACAGCTTCAATACCCCACGCCAGCAGGAATGCCAAGCAGGCTGCGGGACACCCTTTGAAAAGCACATATTAGGATGGGTGGAGTAGGGACAGTGATCGGGACAGTGCTTAGTACGAAGCCCTTTCAGGCTAATTACGTAATCAGAATCAGATCGTCTACAACCCATCTCAAAGCCCTCCCCGGCATCTTTTTCGTTGCATGCGGAAGTGGTCATCGTCGCAAGTCGTTCGTGCTGCAGCGCTCAGCTAGGTGGATGATACAAACGATAGTGGTATTCACACTTCTTTGAGTCATCATTCCACTTGCAGTCGCCATTGGAATAAGCACCTGACACGGTTTTCAAAAGCCTTCAAACGGGTTTCTGGATGATCTGCTTGCTGTTAATCTTTCGAGGGGGAGAGCAACTCAAAAGCACAAAAGCATGCAAAAGCACAAGACAACCCTACTAATTACTATATAGTCATGAGTACTATGTCACGAAGTCATACTAGTCACTAGTTAGTCACTTTAATTTTCAATCCAAGTGACTGTTGCCTCTCCAGTAGCACAAAGATGTATCCCCGCAAGCTTCTTTGGCCTTGGCCAGGTCGTGCTGGTAGAACTCGGTGCACTTGTGGCAGGATTGCTTCTGGTTCTCGCAGGCACCGCCCAAGAATAGGCAGCCACCAACGAAACTGTTGCAAGTCGTCTTGTCTTCACAAATGGCTTTCCTTCTTGTTTTATCTTGAGTGGAGGAAGGACAAAACACACTTACAGAATCTTACAGAAGTAGAAGGACAATTCCCACCAGAGGAAACAAACAAACAAATGCTGACTTGCCAAAACAAACAAGAGGTTGCCAAGCAAAAGCAAGATTTCTGAGCATCAGCTGGCACGTCACTCATTGAAGCCTTGCAGTCTGCGCAAGACAAATCTTGTGGACATCCTTTGAGGCTGCACTTGCCTTTGCAACATTCCATTCCGTTGGCTGCACAAGGATCAGGATTCTTCTCAATGTATTCTCTCCGTGCCCTGGGAATGGCGCACAAATCAGATTCGGTTCCCCAATCCACAAACCCCAATCCAACAAACGCAATAATCGTCAATGATCCAATCCCCAACCAATTTAGTGACCCTAATCCCTATGAACTCACTTTTGGACTGAACCAATGACCCGGTCATGGCAACGTCCGCCCCCTGAGTTCCTGAGCCTCGGGGGAACGGCAAAAACGTATGCCCACGTGAGTGCAGGGTGTCGATTCTATGTCCATCAACCATTCATCCCCAACTAACCATGCAGCACGAATTAACTGCTGCGAACTTGGGTAGTTGACCGAAGAAGTGCCGTTTTTGTTTAATGCAATGTCAAAAAACAAAAGAAACTTGGACATGCCACGTGCACGGACGCTTCTTTAAGCTTGTAATTTATTCATTCTGTTTCATGCCCAAGTGGCCCAAGCTTCCAAATCTTCCACTTCTTTGGCAAGCCCTCGTACCACTCCGCACACTCGGTGACATGCACACTGGTGTTGGAGAAGGTGTCCGCTCGGATTCCAAACACCACGGAGATCTGGATGAAGATCACCAACTTTGAGAACATGACGATGGACCGGTTTGCAAGCCTTGGATCTGCCAGATGTGTTGGTCATGTCCGGATCAGGTTCCACCAATTCCATTCTGTTTGGATAGTTTGAGGGTCGAAGCAAGCTGGCCATTCCCCTACTCTGTGGTTGGTGATCAAAAATTAACTCGTTTGTTCGCAAGCAAGTAACAACGCAACTGCACAAGTTCTGGGAAATCGTCTGTCAATGACAGGATTAAGGCTGAATTTGGCCGCGCTTGGGTTCTCGGCAATGGGCTTGGGTCTGCATTTCTTCCTCTGTCCATGTGCATCTGCATTCAATAAATGTCCAAGATAGTGTGATAATAATTACGCACAATGTGCCACACGTAGGATACAAAATATTGCCAGAGTGACCCCTGTCTTGTCATGTGCAATCAGGTTATGGCAATGGCATGGCGATAATTAATGCTCTCAGTCACCCCACGTTACTACTGAGACAGAAAGACATGTCCATCCACCTTTTATCTTGCCGCGCAAAGATCGACTTTGTTGCACATGCGCGTCTGTGGCCTGAATCCTTTGGATCAGCACCTCGAACTCTTGCAATACCCTGGAACTGAGTGTGTCTTAGAGTAGGGACCGCCAAAGGGGTATGGAAATCATATAGACTAAACATAAGTAACATGACTAAACTCCACTACACACGCTGCTCGTTCTGCTGGGTCGCTTGTTCCACCCAGAAAACTCACTAAACAATTTCACAACCGGTCTTGACTGCCCTTTGGGCTCAGAGATGACGACGGTTGTTGGTGACGACAGGGTTTGCTGCTGGTTCCGATGGGACCTGCGGTTCATCGATGCACGGCGAACGTTCACGAAGCAAGTTACGAACGTTCGTCTGTGCCAAAACGGAGTGAAGGGGCGCACTCTGCCCACGGAAAGCCTGTTTCGAAATACCGAGAAGAAAGACATCAGGCCTGCGAAGTCCAGTGCATGCGGAAGCTGGGTAGAGTCGTTGTTGTCCAAGGAAGTGACACCATAATGTAAGATACAGCAAAAGAGGACCTGTTTGTGGAGGAAAATGGTCATCGAAGGAGCGGTTGTCCTCTTCCATGATTATTTCAGGGAGTGTACCTTGACAGGACTCCTATCAAGCGATCCCCAACAAATGACATTAACCGGTTAGTCACTCACACTGTCCAAGAAAGCGCCTTCTGATCGTCCAATCCCATGCTGTTCTCAACGTCTATGACGCCTTCCTTTTCAGCAGGCACCTTGGCTTGGCTGCTGCAGCCAGTCGGGTCTTGAAATAGTTTCCAGGCCAAATCCCTCATTCCAATCATGCATACCTGATGCTTTTGATACCAAACACATATCTATGTTTTGGTCTATCCTGTTACCTGTAACAGTGCATGATGATGGTTAGTAGAGGCCTTGTCCAAAAATAGTGATAATTGTTTACTGACTGTTACAGGTAATAGGACAGACCCAATCTATGCTAAGACTCCCAAAGATCTCAAATATTGCTTTCTCCATGCAAACATGTTAGGTGCTGCTACTTGTGCGTAATTGCGTCTTGAGTGGAAATAGGCAATCTATGCGTCACTAAAGCCTCCATGAACATGTCCTCCACTAATAGAATCCCATCCTGTATCCACACCTTGTTCTTGTCCTTACAAAAGTATCTTCCTTGCAAACATGTCCTCCTTCCAATGGTTTCCTTCCTTTTTGTCAGGGCCTCGACCTCACACTCTATGTCACACTGTATGAGCGTACCATCTTATTCCTTCTTTTGCGATATTGACCATAGTCCCCTTTCCTCCATGTTCTTTTTTCTATAAAATGTTCTCCATTGGCAAAAAGATTCTCCTTTGCCAAGTGTATCATTGTTCATGGCCGTGAGCACATAGACAGCTCTGTCAACACATGTTTATGAAATGCGTAAACAAAGTTATTGAGGGAGTGACGCGGATGAGGCGACCGCGAGAGATAGCCGACAAGGAATGCAGAACGAGCAAATGGCAGCAACTCGCTGCGGAAGGCGGCGCTCCGAAGCAGGTAACTATATCTATACCGCATCATACCGCATCATTTGGTACCTTCTTCGATCCGGGGACGGCCGGATTACCTTGCAGGGCCTTTGCAAGTTCCTGGATTTTAATGTTTGAATCCAGGAATTGTGAAAAATGCTCAAAGACAAAGTACAGATTGTAAAGGATTGGAAAAAACAACCTCAAACTCAGCAGAAACATGCGAATGCACAAAATGACAAGTTGGTCCATATAATCCATATATCTATTAAGTTATTCATGTTTATATACAGCATAAATAAAATACGGTAATGAAATATCAAGATATAGTAAGCATATCCAAGAGTTGTGGACAATATTTCCAGCCCGTCTCAAAAGGCTAGAGGGTTGATTTTGGTCTCTAAGTGATCTCAGTCAGGGCCTCCTCGCTCCTCTCTGCAGGTGTCCCACGATGCCTGCAAAGTCCAAAAAGACGTGGTGCCAAAAGAATCATCAAAACAACAGATTGAACATGTGGCTCATGTGGCAAACAACAACAATTATTGGAGATCAAGCTTGGTATCAGGACTTGCCAACTGACATGCTCCTCAAATGCTGGATAGTCAAGGCCAAGGAGTGAAGCATTGAATTGATGCTCAGCTCGACAAACAAAGGAGCCTAGGTGTTAGGATGTCTGGCATCCTCCTCTTCGCTCTGCCAGCACAGAAGAGGATCAGGGCAGCCACCACGCCGGCCCCGTGGACACCTGTGGCCGCCACTCAACCAACGGCCAAAACATAGGGGCCCAAAGACCGCCCAAAGACCACAACAAATGCCATGTCTGGTCCTCTTCGGAATGGGATCGAACACCCCGACTGTCTGATTTTGAACCTGCGGACCTTTTTTTGGAGGCCAAGGTCGACCTCTGGAGGGTTTGGGGTTTTAAGAGTGCATGTAGAAAAGGCGCTTTCTCTGTGCCTCAACCCCTGTGCACACAACAACTAAAATGAATTCAGCCCCGAAGTACAAGACACGTTAGAACTGATGGGATACAAAGCAAATGGAAAACCCAACCTTCGGTTAGAACACATCTCCACATCATCCACATCTATTGAATGGGGGATCTGACAAGTTCAAGCAGGAATGGGGTTCTGGCCACCTTGTGCTGGAAGGCTCTTCTACCACTCGTATCTGCCGCTCGTCAAACTCCCAACTTTGCCAGTCTGCCGTGATATCAGTGAATAACAAAGCTCAGGCACTCAATATGCCGAGCATGTTCTCAAACTCCAGTCGAGTAGCTCCAGCCGGTGCCTGTGGAAATTCTCTTTTCATACACCATGCGTTTGACATTTATAGTCTTAAAGGCTCCTTCGTGTATTGCGACACATTGTGGCTTGAAACCCTAGGCTAAACATCCATCTTAGTTCTGAGTGATTGAGTGTGTTCCCTCATTCTTCACTAACTAGCAGAAACAGCCCCTTCACTTCCTGGTGCTAGCTGGTAGTGCTAGCAGCTTCAAAAGGACCCACGACCCGGGACCCACTAGACCAGACGCACATCCTCGGTCCCTGGTCCGCAGGGAAGCCCGAAACGCCCCATCCCGTTAAGGTACCCGTCACGTCCCCGAGGCACACGAAGAACAAGGACCGAAACACTGGACTCACTGTTATCAGCATTTATCAGCTAATTGGGGCTTTGACCTGGATGCTCATAAACCGAACTCGTAGCATCTGACATCACGAGACCCCGAGAGATTGCCCGAAGATCTCATTGGGCTGAATCAAGGGTGTGCGTGCCGCGTTCCTTGGCATTTGTCACCAGCTGTTTGCTCCATGTATACGATGTGCAGTCTACAGATTTGGAGAAGAGACCGCTGTGATTCCGACATCAATTATATATACAGTACTTGTTTCGGCCAGGCCATCCATGCATGCCTCCTCCACCGCATCTGGACAATATTCAACCTCAGCGAGCTCTCACTACAAAGGATGAAGACTGAACACCACGTCTCCGTGCAGCCACTTTGGGCTAAGATGAGATGGCTGCAAATTCCACCGCTCACAATGTCCATGATGTGTTTTTGCACAAAGAACAAGAATTAGCCGACACACCTTGCGCTTGGCACACAAGGCCCCTTCATCCCAACAAATGATGCAACGTTCGAACCTACATACTCATCAATCCGTGTCAAGCGTGAAGTCACCACCCAAAGGCAAACACTCCAAGACATCTAACTATCCAAAAGGAAAATAATTGGAACTAAACCGAGAAATGTGACTTTGTGAAGCACCACTCAAAACGACATTGTAGGAATTGATGGGGAGCCAGCAATCCAAACTAATCAAGGCAAGTCTGCCATGTCTGAAAACCCAACAACATGGTAGATTTTGGAGGGCAGCATTTGGGAGACAGCTTAGTGGACCAGCTTACTTAGTACAGTATATAAGTGTGTTCAGCCCAGCCCTACTTGTCCAAATCCTTCTGGTGAGCCAACCAGTCAGCACAGCAACCGGTGTCAAAGACTTCTTGGTGAGCCTGGACAGCGTCCCGTCCAAATCCATGCCTGGGCCGAAAATAAATCAGGCTCGGAATCAACATGGAACGGAAGGACCTTCATATGGGAATATCAAGTATGCGACAGTAAGGCATTTGACATGTGCGAAAAGATTGCTAAGTTCTTGGAAGTTCACACTCATGACTCATCAAGGAAACATCAGCTCATTGTGGCGAGTTTGAGGGAAGGTCACGGATGAAATTGGTATCGTGAAATATCGTGAAATGCACAAACGATCATTCAAGCATCTCAGACTCTCTCTCAGAAACATCACCGCCTTTGAGATGTTCTTGCTTTGTCGTGCGGTGCATTGTCATGCGTTTCAATTCACTTCAAGCACGACCGGAAGCGGCTGTCGACCGGCCCGGCCCCAGACCGGGCCCGGCAGTCATGGCACGGACAAACCACACTGCCAGGACGTCTCGGACCAAGATCGTGCAGTTCTCGTTCACGTCATTGCCCACCTTGGCTGATAGACCAAGGCTGGTCGCACGTCTATGACCAAACCACCCATCCCCACTAGGACACACACTATATCGGACTTACAAGATCAAGACCAACTAGCATCAACATGGATCAACTATCAACGGTCATGTCAACTGCTGATTGGTCAACAAGGTCAACAATCTCCTCAAGGTCTGCGGTACCACTTTCGGGCCACTCCCCCTATTTATATAATCTCTTCATGACATGTTTATAATGTCTATTTAAAACATGTTCATAATTGTTCAGATTCAATTAGGAGATCATAAGGGCTGGTTGAATCTGTAAGAAACTTAAGAGATTAGAATCCCATTTAGATCTACAGTAATGAGTGAACCAGCAAAATGGGGCTGCGTGTTTGGCTCAGGTGGTTTCGACATGGTGCCTGAGCCTGTTGGGTGAACGCTTTAGTTCTTTATATAAACTGGGCAGATTTTGCAGCTCGGATTAACAAGTTGGAGGGGTATTGATCCTGACTTGACACTATGTTTCCAAACAGTGCAGCTCTCAGTTCCATGCCAGTCCGACCTTCTTTTGCCTTCCTTCATCGGCCAAGTCGCCATCCAGCCAGCTTGGATGTTCAGCAAAGGCTCCCCAATGGTCTTCATATTGCAGTGTGGATTTATGTTCGGCCTCTGTTTCAGCATATCCTCAGCTTCAGTCCCAATTCGACGATGACAAGGGGAGAAAATATCACGCAGGCTTCTTTGCTGGTACAGCCGCTCAATTCATTGGAGATGCATGTGAACCGTCATTTTGAAGCAGCATGACGCAATCCACACCTAAATGGAATCTGAATAAGTAATCCTGTATGACATGTAATTATAGTTTTCTTGTGTTTTCTTGCTACTCCATTGGCAAACCCTTTCTCCTCCATGTTGAAATCAAACATATTCTGATGTCGGCAAATGTCTGCTCCACGCCAGCTCTTCGGAATTACAGGACAAGCTAAGCTTAACTGTCTAAAACAAAAGCCAATGCCAATGACCATTACTGTTGATGGCACGGCTTTCCACTTATCATCTTATCAATCTTGTCCTTTTCTGTGTCAAAAACAGGTTTGGACTTGTCCTTCTGGTACTCATTGGGGCTTGTCACAGTCTAAACCAAAGGCAGTTTCTTTGCTGCAATTATGTTCGCCACAAAACACCTGCATGAACGTTGCTGCACACACCTCTGCAAGTGGCCCATTGACTATCATTGACTCTTGGTTTCACCCTAAGCCATGAAAACGAAACTTCTGTTGCCTCTTAACTATGCGTGATATCAGGGCTTCCCATGCTTACAGTACAGCTGTCGCGGTTCTGATGGTATCGGTCTCGGTATCACCCATGCGTCCGAGTCGTCTTCCAGACGGTGACCGCCGTCCGTCTCCAAGGATCAACCTCAAACTTGGCGAAAATCCCGGTGTCGTGCTCTTGATTCGTCAGTTTCAGAGCACGTTCTTCTGGCACCAATGGAACGGATTGCAGCTCCGGGTAGTCCGGATAGTTGTTTTGGAACCTCAGAAGCAACTTGCCCCCGGTTTCATGAGCGAAGTGGATGAAACCAAAGACCCAAAGCCACTGGGCTCCCTATTCGGCACAGCCCGCCCAACATGGCGAATCCGTCATTCGTGCAACCCACCGTTGGATCGTACGAGCCGCATTAGGAACCCCAGCATGAAAACATATAAAAGGTCAAGACTCAGCCCTACATTGAGTGAACACACACAAAGTCCACGACGCACCCATGACACAATTCTGTCAATCACGTACCCAAACCACCAGATCTTCTTCAACTTCGCTTCCTCTAGGTCCACTCTGAGGCACCCCATGCACACCCATATTCACCCCTATTTAGCAAGCAAAGGCATGTCAAAGACTGCTTATTGGTTTATTGCCTGCCTTTGGCCTTTCTTATGGTTGTGGGTCGATCTGCTGCCCGAGTCGCCATGTTTCCACTGGTCCCCCTCGTTCGACTGACACCTTCTTCCTGGGCCACGATCGAAGACGGGACGAGGCCTTGACTCTTCGGCCTGGAACTGCGATCGTCACCGTCTCTGCCTCCCTGCGGCACCGCACCGCACGGGTACAACAACTTCCTATCTACATGCTAACCAATCTACAACTGCTAGAAAGCCATAGAAAGCCTGCGAAAGAAGAGAACGAAAAGAAGACAGCAGCAAGGAACCCAAAAGAAGGTGCTTGAGCTTGGGCACCTTTCTTTGAGCCAAAAAGGACCCAAGCCACGAAAAAACGAAACAGACCGAAACAACCGGTCTTTTGACCGGCGAGCGGTTAAAACATCGCGGAAGAGAAAGGGAAGTGAACTGTTTGAGCTCAAAGCCGCCTCCAAACATTACAGCACTAAAGATACTAAAGTGTGTTCGGTATTGATTGAAACACATTGAACATGTTCGCGCTATTGAATCTATTGCCTTTCCTTTTAGGAGCAAATGATGACTTGGAATATGGCTGATGTCTTTCCACGCGCCTGTTGCAAGAGCATAGCGGTGAATGTAAGATTCAAAGACACCTCACAATAGAATATTTGTCTCATGCCTGGTGCGATTTATCCCTTTAACCCACGCCCATCATCCAGTCGCATCCAGCATTCCACGGTATTCTGCCGGCTAGATTGAGCAGAGTAGGGCAGTCCAAGCATCATCTGCTGCACCGCAGACGTTAAGCTTGAGAAGCCAGCAGCATTTTCAGCTTTCCTGAGATGCAAGCACTGTGATGTCTGTAGGGATAGCACGTTTTAGAATATCCAAAGGCTGCGCAGGTTCTTCACAAGTTGGCCCGCAATGAAATGCAGCTGACCTATTCTGATCCTCTACTAGTACTCCTCAGTCTTTCGCCAAACTTCATCACTAGGAAGGATGCCAAGTTCGCCGTGTAGGCTGACAGGGTCAAAACGATGCACCTTGGATGGTGCTGTCATGCCGAAATGCTTCGCTCCCGGAAGATGCTCGTCTGTCTATGTCTGTCTTAGGATGCTTGGATCAGATTTAACATGATTTAACATCAAGTCAGATCCAGTCCTAAGATGATAGGCAGGCCATCAGTCCCAAGTGTCCAAAGTTTCAGAAATAAACTGAAACAATTGAGGATTTACAAAAAGTCCTTCTGCTCCAAAGGATGTCGCCAGCTGCCATTTGCGCTACTCCGGCTACTCCAAATCGGCGTCTATCTCAGTATGATCAGTGACATACTGTAATTGGTTTCCCTGATCTTGGCTTGGGATGGAGTTGATTGCCCTCGCTGCTTCTCCAATCAAGACTTGCACCATGATCCATTGACCTCTGACCATCTCCTACCTTGAACATGCATTTCGCTGCGAGCGCTATCCTGCGTCCATATGTAGTAGCTGACTTGTAGCTGCTACTACTACAAGTAGCTACCTCCTAGCGGCCAACCCCCCCCCCAAAAAAAAGTAACTAGTATACAGGTTAAGAACAGTTTGCTTTTTTCCCCGTCAGACGTCTCCCCACAAGTCTGCTGGAGCGCCAGGTCCAAGACATCAGAAGAACCTTTCCAGGCCAAGTTTTGGGCGCGAAGCCCGAAGCACCCGTGATATGCCCCGAGGACTTGAAGATAGAATCCTCGGAGTCGGGATTCGGTGTCAACAAAGTGATGTAGGGATTCGGATGGCGCAAGTAGGTGGAAACATTCTGCAATCTGCATGAATAGAATGTGAGCAGTGCCACACGGGCCCTGAGCAGTTTGGTTGGTGGCCCTTGGGCCCTTATGAAGGTGCTGCTTGTTGGCCCTCTACCAAATATTTCCTGCGGCGGAGGGCGCCAACCTTCATACTTCATATCCCCAAAGAAAATATCTACCATTATCTGTCATCAGTGTATATACTTAGTATATACTTACTGTATGTTTACCTTGAGTAAACTATACTGTATGTCTCTAAACAAAACGAATTCAAGCTTTTCACACAACACAACGTCTGAATACAACACCTAGGATCCAAGAAATTCCGGATGTCAAAGAGTCCTGCGTCGGGGCTCATGAGCGAAGTGAAATGACAAAGGAACAATTTGGGTCGGGGGCTCCAGCGGTCCATTTTATAGAGGATATTGTCATGGTGATGGAAAATCTGTATCTACAGAACTTAAAGTAACAAGAAGCTAGTAGTAGCTAGAAGCTACTAGGTGGAGGCCATCGCTAGTAGGTTGGAGGCCCTTACGACTAGTAACATATAGCAACAAGGAGCCAATGGGTGGAGGCCATCGCAGTAGGTTGGAGGCCATTACTACTATTGGTAACAAGAAGCGACTAGGAACAAGGATTTACCGAGGCGTCACGCTATGGCGTTTCGCATTGACTGTCGGAGGCACGGGCAAATACGTCCAGCGTTGACCGTCTCGTGTCCCCATGTCCTCTGCCTTCCGGGAAATCCTCGTCATTGGAGGTTTCCAGAAATCGGTACATCAAGCCTGCCAGCGGCGAAACCAGCGTGGCTTCCTAGAGGATGTTGGATGGATTTTGTGGGGCAAACCCTTGCCAAACCCTTGAGTGGTCCCCTCAGCAGGCGCGGTGACCAGTGAATCCCATAAGCCTGAAACGATAGAACACCAAAACGAATGTCCTGTACAACGGCAGGACAGATTTGGGAGTGTCTCTGGCAGCATCTACTTCAAAGTAGTGGCCTCAATGCCCCAAAGTGATTTAACATGCTCGCATACTGGAGCAAACCTGAGCCCCTCAAACCAATTAATTGAGACGTCCAGCTTCCAACAAACGACAAAATGCCGTGTGGTCTCTGCTACGACGATTGCGGGCCAATCTGTCCTACGGCCGCTCTGTTGAAGCGCCTGACCTTGAAGATTTGACCATGGAAACTTACCATGGCACTTCAAGCAATGTCAGGGGGGCGTTTCTGCCCAAGTCTTACGAAGTTTGAGAAGTTTGGTGACTTGGATGCTGATGCCTTCCCTCCCACGGACTGACAGGAAAGCAACATCTGGTCCAACCAGAAAGCTTCCGCTCGCGGCTAAAGAACCGGAATCCGCTTCGGATGTTCTGCGGCTGGGGAACCTGTTCCAATCATCAAGCCAAGAAAGCAAAACCACACGGCTGGGCTGAACGGCGTGAGGAAGGAGAAAATCTCGTCGAAGGAGAACATGCTTTTCTCCTCAAGCTGTGTTGAGGCATAGCAGCCCAGGGAGATCATATCAATCGCTCGCATTGCAATCATTAGCATTAGCAAAACCTCTTCAATCTGACAATTTGCCCATCACATCCTATCACTAGAAGATACAGCACCAACCAAACAATCCGGCACATGTAGAAATCCAACTTGAAGTGGTTCAGCCAACCTTCGGGTGGTTCTCTGCCTCAACGCCCATCGGGTCTCAACGGATCACACGACGGATCTCGTCCTTCGGCACCACCACAGCGAAGAGCATCGCCTCCAGGAAGCCGTAGGGGCTATATGCTCCGATGCCCATGCGGCCCGGAGTGATGAACCAGTAGGCATAGGTGATCATATCTTGCCTACGGCATCGCGATATTAGAGCGTGGAGCATCGTGGAGAAAAAAGGAGGCGGCCAGGTCCAAACAAAGTGGGATGTACCAGCAACAACGGCGCGGCGCTTGCGCTAGCTTTGTAGGAGTTCATTGAGAACATGAACACATCAATGTCAACAGAATTGAACGTCAGAGAGGGAAGCAATGGGAAGCAGCTGATAAATGGGAGAAAAGTGCACAGCTTTGACATCGTGAAGAATTGTTCTAAGAATTCTTTGAGGAAAACAGGCGATTCGCGAGAAAAACGCATGGTCGACCTTCGCCAAAAGACGAGCCAACATGGTCGACCTGGAGGTCGCTCCAACAAGTTTTGTGTCTAAGAAACAAATCCCAGTAATGCGCTCTTGATTGGCAATCCCATGCAATCCCCCAATTTGAATTGGAAATCCTATAATATGGGAGGGTTATTAATCAAGAGTCTACATTAAATCTATCCTTTCCAAACCCAAGAGATGAGTTGGTTGATTGGCCGATTGCTTTTCGCCAAGATGCAACATGATCCGTTCGGCAAGAGCTTTCTTGAAGCTGGTGATGTTGGACCAGTCATGTATCACCATGCTGTAGGTGAAGCCTCCGAGAGCCAGAAAAAAACGAGCCGCCGAGTGCCATCTGTCGGTTGCGATCGTCATCCAACGTGACAACGTGGAAAACAAAAAAAAAGGATCCTCCAACGGTACAGATCCTCCGACGCACAATGGCCTATTTAACTTGAAGACGATGGCCGCACGGTGCCCAAAGCTCACGGCGTCGTTGTCTTTAGTCGATCTCTTCTGGTTTTAGTCCGAAGTGGTTCTGTCGTCTTTAAGTGTCTTTATTTCTTTGTCCGGTCTTCCTGTTGCCCATGGCCTGCACGAAGCCCAAGCTCATTGAGGATATCAATCTCGAGTCCTTTCACGTGCGAATCGTACCGTGCCCAATCGTCATCAATCGTCTGTAGATCGATGATGCTGACGCTGAAGTACCAGACGTCGATGGAAATTGAGGACATTGAACAGAATGAAAGCTGATGATTGAAATTCAGAAGTACAAACATCAAATTGAATGGTACAAAGGAAACATGGCAAAACACGTGTAGTTGAGTCTAAGCGTTGCATTGAGCCAAGCAAATCGGCCAAGAAGCAGTTCTGACTTTGTGTCCCCTTGACACCTTTGTAGAGCCGAACAACCACTTCTGCCAAGGAGCCGACGTATTTTCGCCCATCCCACCTGAGTCGAGTTCTTCTTCAGTGCACGAACGTGCACGGACAGGTTTGTGGAACTCGTTCTTTTGTCAAATCTAACGACGGCCCTTTCCAGGTTTATATGGGTGTGTCCAAACTATATAGTTCTGACAGAGCCCGCCCATAAGAGCAGCCTGTGAGAACTGTGAATGCTGGATTCCTGTGCTCCCACGATTCAAGGAGCCAAACTAACTAGCAACAAAGTTATCGGAGACCTTTTGATTGACCACATTTTACACAACAAATTGACTTTCGTGCGCTCGCAGCACCCACATACCAGCCGGAAACAATGTGAATGAATGCACATCCCCCTTCCAAATGAATTTTCAAGTGTCACCATCTGTCACCATTATGGCTGGAGGCCATCGCTACTACGGCTACGAGGTTGGCCATTGCTAGCTAGGCTTGCTTAGGTTTATTTAAAGCCGTGATCCTGTTATGTGCGCAACACAAGAAGTCTCCATCTGTCTGAAGTGTCCATCTGCCTCCACGATCCTTCACGTCCGCCCATTGGATTCGTCCCGCCTCAAGAAACGCGTGTCATAGATGCCACTGCCAATGTGGAGATGAACCCCCCGCAGCCCATCCTCCTGGCTCATCGAACCATTCCTTGGGACGTGTCAGAGTCTCATGCGACGTGTCAGAGTGAGGGGAAAGGTCTGACTTGGAAAAACAATGAAACAAAACCTGGAAGTGAATGTGAGATGATGTAAGACTGATGTAAGTCATTTAGGTCAGGTGAGCTCACCTGCTCTCCTGGGCAGTTTCTCTGTTTGTTGCTGGTCGGTTCCTCCTTGTATTGGCCAAACATTTCAAGAAAAAGCAGTTCCGAGAATTGATGAAGCAGAGAGGATCGAGATTGCACCTTTGCGACGCAAGTCAAGTCTGAGTCTGCCTCCAGGGTTCTTGATGGAATTTATCCTGTCGCACAGATATGCTCGCTGTGCAAAGGACCTTGCAGGCAGCCAAAGGCAGTAAACTCAGTAAACTCAACCTCTACTGCTAATAGAATCTTTCAAAGAGGGTTTTCGGAAGTCATATAGATCACCTCTCAGGTCCAAAGCAGTGAAACCATGTGAAACCTGGCTTCTATCATCTGGAATCTCTGCTATCCAAATCAGATAAAATCAGAATCCGATCAAAGCAGGACTTTCACGAGTGTCCCTTTCAGGCGTGCCTTTGCAACAGTAAGATGAGAAGGTAAACATGCCGCATCATCAAAAACACATTGCTCGGGCGGAGGTTTGCAGTTTGGCAACAAACCGAGCAACAGGCTGCAAAACAGCTGCATTGTTCTGTAGGGCCTCGTCTTTTGCTAGTCGCTGACACCAATGCTTGCAAGGTCACTCAAAAGCTGCAGCCTACGTTATATGCTTGGGCCACCACAGGCCACCAGATAGTAGGATCCTGAACAAGATTGACTAGAGGGCTTCAAAAGCGCGCGTTTGATGCGGTCAACACCGCATCACAGCATGATGAAGGCCCTTTGAGGAGCTATCTTTTTCCTCCACGTCTCCAGTGTCTCCAGGCAACCATTGGCTGCCCTTCAAAAAGGCGGGACCGGCCATGGATGCATCGTATGATGCATCTTCTGCGAGCATGAGTTTCACAATGTGCGATCCAGTTGTTTCATGAACACATGCTTCTTACATGTTTCTTGTTGCATGTCATGAGATCTTCTGGGGCCTTGTGGGATCTCTGGACTCTTTCGAAACCAAGCTTAGCAATGAGTTTACATGTCCATCCATCAACATGTCCAAGCCTGATCGCCTCAGCCACTCAAGACCAAGGGAAGCCATCTACGCCATCAACCCGAGAAAAAGGTGAGATGTGCCACTCACCAATACAAGGTGTCGGGGAAGAAGCGCTGGATTTCGATGAGGCCACCTGGACAGTTCCCCGAGTGCGATGGCGCCAAACCCTGATCGGCGCCAAAACATGGACAGGGTGGGCCCCACTGATTCGTGCCAAATGGACAGGTCGCCTCATGGGGGCGACCTAAGGTCGGATCATGTGGGCGGGCGTCTTGCTGCACCTCATTCTTTCGAGTCTTAAGGAATTCTAACATCAGTAGGTTGGAGGCCCTCTCCAGTAGTAGCAAGAAGCTACTAGGGGCTCCTGGCCTTACTACTAAGTAGGAACAAGAAGCTACTAGGGGCTTCTGGCCTTACTACTAGGAACAAGAAACTACTTGGGGCTCCTGGCATCGCTACTAGGAGCAAGGACGCTATTAGGTTGGAGGCCATCGCTAGTAGGTTGCCACGATTGGGATCGTCACAGGTTCTGGAAACCTCTCTCGAGAATTGCCCCAAATACTGGACGCCTGGTACTCTAACAGTCCCATTCAGGCCCTGCAGGTCCTCCCACGTGAAGGTCACATGGCGCCCAAATTGGGAATGCCTATTCTTCGAGGGGAGTGGTAAAGCCCAGTAGTACAGCGTAGTAAAGCAACTGGGAATTAAATTCGTCAGCCAGCCAGCCAGCCGTTGCGTATATATGTAATATATATATATATACTATTATGTGTTCTCACCAAGAAGATTTTAGGGATTTTAGGGGAATACGGATTGGGCCCCTCTTGTCTGAAGCATCCTCTTGCATGACTATTTAAAGTCGTTTACCAGTTGAACATGTGAGCGTCTGAGAAGCCGAACCCACAGTGGTGAGCCCGATGATGGCGAAGAAGTTCACGTTCAGGGACAACCTAAGCTCTCACAAAGCGCTGTTTTGGAGTCTTTTGGTAAATCCAATGCTTTTAGACGTCATCTCTAGGTCACCAATCGCTTCCGTATGCATTGCTGTCTCTCTGATTACCCTGTGATCGAAACTGAAAAAACACTGCAACACTCCATATGAGCGTCTGCCAAAACGTACGGTCAAGCAAAGGACATGATTCAGCAAGGTTATCGCTTTTGAGGGGGGCCTATCGCTGTTGCAGGCTTTAGCCACAATGTCAAAATAGCTGAACATATCGAATTTTGCATGTTTTAGCCCAATTCCTGAAATTCCCACCCTCTCTTTACTAAATTATTTAGTGCACGTTTAAGGCAGTTGCCCATATGAAGTGTATAGACTTGCAGTGCCACTGTATTGTAAATTGTGTGCCAAATTGTGTTCCAGTGAAGACGGTCTCTCTCATATAAGTTGCTAATAATGCCTGTGAAGTTGAGAAAAGTGTCCCTAAAAATCTAGGAACCAAATGAATAGTGCGAGCGCTTCTCCAAGGAAGCTCCTCTCCGCCGCCTTTAGGGCAGCGGGGGGAGCTTCATTGAAGAAGAGTGAACTATCCTGCGTCCCTAGGTAGTAGCCGCTAGTTGCCCTCACCCTTACTTACTCAAGTAGGCACCTACTCAATTGAGTAAGAGTGAGGGCAACGGATGGCAAGGGACTAAAAACAGATTCTGTATCGCGAAAATTACAAGCTTTCAATCACATTGCCTCAGAACATGCCTTGACTCAGGCCCATGCCACGCTTTGATGTCATCCGACTGGACGACTGGTGTGATGTAGTTGATCTGATGGACGACTGGACGATCCATCACCAGGATCCACTAAACTATGCAATCAAAGATAAACCTACCTGCCATAGGCATAATAGATTGACAAATTGTTATACAGTAACTGTCATGATGATCATGCTATCCCTCTTGGTCACACTAACCCTCTCTTTTGCAGGTCTGCGCAGCCTACGTGCAACACAAATTGCATGGTAAACAAGCGCATTGCCTCTATCATATCGAGTGTGAGGCGCAATACATGGGTACCTATACACTACACGCTATATTACATGGTCGGAAATCATCTTGCTTTATGACTCTATTGGGTGCATGGACGCTGGAATCTGAGACTACAAATCCAATAGTGTTTGTTGAAACACTGTGCTGAAGACTCCACTGGCGTTGGCTGAACAAACGTCCATTATGATCAACATGGACATCTTCTAATAAAGATAATAAAGTACAGTCCCCCCTTTAGAAGAATACATGTCCAATCGCTTTTTCTTTTTTGTTCGCCCTGTCGCGTGCCCAAAGAAAACCCTCACCTGGTTGCTGGCACCAGTGCTGAGTTGGATCTCTGGCTGATCCCAGTCGTTGGTCTTCATGACCTGACGGACCGTCGATCCCGCCTTGGGTCGATCCTGAACGACGCTCCGTGGCTGATCCACGGTCGGCTCTTCTCCTCCGGTTCCAAGCGGCGATCCGAGGAGGGTTGTTGAACTTGTCCCTCTTCACCACCTGAAGGTGGGCCCAAATGGGCGGGTGACTATGTGCCCTGCATCGGGCAATAAGACGATGTGTGCGACGTGTTCTGTGCGGCGGCATTGGACTTTTGGTGTATAAACTCAAAAACGCTGAGCTATTATGTGAGGGGCCCTATCTCGTTTAGACTACTTAAGTATAGGAGGTCATGTCACAGTATCTCGTTCAGACTACTTTTGTAGCAAATCACACTATCTCGTTCAGACTACTTTAGTGTCATCAAAAAAAAGGTATCTCGTTTATCTGGGGGCCCTATCTCGTTCACACGCGAATACTGATGATAGACAAGCAAATAGAGCATGCCCTAGACTGCTTTAGTAAAGCCTACTAGTATGTAAAAGTGGTTGCTCATGTGACTATGGGGACTATGGGGACCAATGCAGGCGACGTTGGCGAACTCGCGGTCTCGCCTTTCCAGACTCCTCAGGCTTGATGAGCACCAATCCCTCGTCACGCCTCGGTCACGAAGAGGCGATGAGTAGCGATGGCCTCAAACAGAACTCGAGTTGTACTCCGCTATAACTCCTTGCCAACTCCGCTTTAACTCCTTGCCAACTCCGCTTTAACTCCTTACCAACTCGGCTTCCTCCGTCACTCTCGCCTTGCTCCGCTGAACAAAATATGCTTCATCCCAATGTTTATCGGATGCGATTCCGGTGACGTCGTGCCATTGGGCGGGAAGTCAAAGGTTCCCCGTTGCTTTTAATCAGCAAACGAGCGAAGTAGGGGGGTTAGGCCTTCCCAGCCTGACATCCAACGGCCATCAACAACTGGTCAAAGTAAATCGAAGTACGTTTCAAGACTGTCATGATTACGTGATGAAGAAGCATGATTAATACTAATCATGATGAATCATGTGTCACGAAGATTTAGAAAGGCTGCACCCGCGACAAAGAACCTACCACCCCCACCACGTCTAACACCAATAACAACAACCACAATATCATCATCACCACCATCATCATGATCATCGCACGACATGCGACATACCATTCCCGGGACAACCATCGCGGAATGCAACGGCCCAACGAAAAGGTTAGAATCCTACGAAAAGAGCAAACTATAGGTTGACCTTTGGAGGTCAAACTATAGTAATTTGCAAGGCAGGCCTCCAATCTAATATGTAGATATTGCTCGGCTCAGGCCTGTTGCACGTGAACCAATTGACAGAGAAAAGCCGTCGAACCTGGTGGGAAAAGCCGTCTGTGTTCCTTGCCCTCACAAACTTCAAACCCTCCAGATCTTTCATATTCTTATAGAACCCGGAATCTGCGGGCATGCACCTGTGGGTATGGCATGCTTCCTGCGTCGATCCATTTCATTCGCGCTTGCACATCCACACTTCACACGGTCCACAATGAAGTCTGAGGGCTTCAAATGGACCCGAGCTTCTTTGTATAAGAAACAAAAGCAATTGGCCACAGGATGTACATGGATGTACGATGTCTATGAATATCTGCCCCAAATGCAGGTTATTGGATCATAATTCTAGGAACAAGAGGCTACTAGTAAGAACCCGGGCATCACTACTAGTAGCTCCTGGCATCGCTACTGGAGCTCCGGGCATCGCTACTACTAACCAGAAACAAAAAGCTCACCTCCAACTCACTCCACTGGATCCTGCCAAGATTCTCATCTACGGCCCGTCGGGCGGCACTCTGACTGCCTGACGTCGGGCGGCCCGTGGACGACGGATTTGACCGTCGACCCGTCCAGTACATTTCGATGTATCACAGAAAGTTGAGAAGGCCTTTCCCAAATCACATTGTCAGTTAGTATACATCGTATAAGTGTTTCAATTATATATATATATTGTTTTAATTTACTCAATATTAATATATATTAATATATCTAATTATATATATACATATTTTATACAAAATATAGTTACATTTCCATCATTTCCATTTCAGAAGAAGCTTTTGGATGCTTTTGGGTGTCTTTGGAGCTGCAATCCGCAAGGACATGGGCCTTGCAGTCCGACATGTCATTCGAAAGGACCCGAATGTATCCCACATCTCTTGCCACCACATGTTGGTGCAAAAGGGGACGGCTGCTAGCAGTTATTTCATTTCCTATCATTCACAGCAATGAAACGGAGCACTCTCCAAGCTGCAGGAACATAAACTTGTGATCTGTTGCTTCCGCCCATTGGGACAGCAAACCCTGCTTGGCCCTGTGGGACTCTGGGACAGCAAACCGTAGAAGCTATGCAACTGAAACCCTCCGAGCCACGAAGACTCTGCGAAGGCGTGTTGGCAAAGAGCAGCCTTGGTGACACGAGTCAATCCGGAGTCCGCAGGAGTGCTGAACAAAGTCAATCACCCAACCAACAATAGGTTGAAAAGTATGGAAACAAAACCCCTGCCAATGCCTGTGACCATCTGTGACCGATTGGTTTTTATTGTTTTTCGTTAAATCAAAATTGGCACCAGGATGATGCCAGCCTGTCCTAATCTTCTATCCACAACGATCATCCAACATGTGGGTTTGTTGAACACCTACTGCCCCCTACCGTTTTTGATACACACAACCCTACACAACCGACCGCAGCCGCAGCTGCAGCTGACGTGCCAAACAAGATACGTCGAAAGGCGGCTGCCCAGCAGAGTGCCTCGGAAATGGGCATCGCGGCGACGTCCATCTGCGTCGCAGAAACAGCAGGGAGAAACGAAAAGTAACCTGTTTGAAACCATGTCCTGAGGACCGGCACCCACTCGTTGGAAAGACCAATATGACCGGCAGTGAAGATAGTAGCACGAGACCGTGAAAACATAGCAGTCCGACAGCCGACAGCAACATCCAAGTCTCGTTGCGGTTGCACTTCGCCAAGCTTCTTAAATAGAACTGCCATAGAAATGTTGACAAACGTTTAAAATGTGTTAAACACAGAACAGCTGGTTTGACCAGTTGGTTCGGGCCACTTGTGGGACACACTGGTGAGAAAAACAGAAGTTCTGCTTGCGGCTTGCGTAATTCATGGCGCTAAGTTCTCCATTGGTGGACGACATCTCTCATAATCAAGCGACTGGTTGGCTGGGTGTGTCCAGTTCAATCCAGGGCACAAGCGACCACCAAGATCAAGCTGGTCAAACGTGCCATGATGCCTGGCTTTGGTAACATCTGTCTAGAGGGTTTGGCTGACAGACTAATCACAGTAAGCTTGCCCACAAACCGTATGATAACTTATGATAACACACAGAATCCACATTTGGTCCAGTTCACGGCCCACTTTCCAAAGAACACATCCAATCTTCCGGCACACCCGCATTACTCCGCATTGGGGCGTCCATCTTGGCCAACGTAAAGGCTTCCACATCGGATCCCCCCAAACGGGCCGTCTCATCGTCCTCGACCCCAGAGGGTCGCAACCCCCCTGCGCCTAGCCGCTTTGGGGCTGAACGGAGGAACGTGATCCCAAGATCTGCGGAATGTTGACCGTGACCTATTAGCTTCTAACTAATAAGCAGCTTAGTAGCAATGCCCTTGTTACTATACTAGTAGCGATGGCCTCCACCCTACTGCGATGTCCTCCAACCTACTAGCAATTGGCCTCCAACCTATTCGCAACCCGCTTCTCCAGGCTCGCAACAGCCATCAATGTAGAACCTTCCTGACAACATAATCTGCTCGCTGTTGCTCACATTTTTGCTTTCTGAGCTGCGCGCACTCAACGACGCCTTTCAAAAAGGCACAGCGCCAAGCACATCCAGTGCACTTGGCACCCCTTCAGAGGCCGCAAGGTTCGCATTTGACCCCTCTATCCGGCCTGTCATCTCCACTTCTTGCGTGCTTGTTCAGTGGTCAACTGCAACTTCCTCGGGGATGGATCCCTCCCTTTGAGTCTGCCCAAAACTTAACGCGTTGTGTCCTCTTTTTTGCCTTAAAGTTGCCCCTCTTTGTCTGGTGGGTTCTCCGGATCGACCGGCACATTGATCCAATGATGAAATCCAACATGGTGCGATGCCAATCCGCATGTGTTTCATGTGTTTCATGCCGCACCTGCTAGCCAACTACATGATGAACTTTGATGAATGTTGTATCTTGTCATTGAAGAGTTCACAAGAGTTCCATGTTGGGAACTCAAGGTTCGAGAAACTCTTCTCTCAGGCACAGAAGAGGCTGGCCACTCACCAGTAGAGGGTGTCCGGGAAGAAGCGCTGGATTTCGATGAGACCACCTGCAGTTGCATGGATTTTCACAACGTGTTGCACCATGATGCGAGAAGCAAAGATCCATCCCACGGAGGGGAAATGGTGAATGACCCTGGTTAGAGGGGGAAGTGCCACCTTCACGCAAGGTGATGTGCTCATATGTACCCTTGAGCTATAGTTCCTGCTTCTGAGTTATCCTAGTGACCTAGTGTGAACGACCAGTTTCACCAAAGACAATTGAAGAGGTGGAGGTTCCTCGGAGCACAGTTAAAATAAGGCATTGGCAACCTCATGGCAAGAGTTTCTGTTACGGTTTGTTGCAACACAACTTCTTAGGCTGGGGTGAGGCCTAGAAGTGATTGAAGCGGCATTATGTTGCCAATATCCTTGAATATCAATCAGCATGCTCCAGAGAGCGAGGATGCCGCGACACTGCCAGAGCAAGCATGAACAAAGGGAGCCGCACCAGGCAAAATCAGTTTTGCATAGTTTTGCCACACAATTGCATCCCCCTCAAAAAAAGAAACGCTGCACCCGGCGAGATGTGGTCTATCAGTTGCTGATAGTTGATGTGCTCTTCGATCCGCTCATCAAGCCATGCAACCCACAGTGGTGAGCCCGATGATGGCGAAGAAGTTCACATTCAAGGACAACCTTGGCCGCGACTCTCGACGCGGGTCCCGCCGACCCTTCGGATCGTTCGGTGACAGTGGCGCCCACCGGAGTCTAGGTCGCGGTGACAGTGGACGACGGCGAGTTTCATGTCAAAGTACCCGGCGAGTTAGAGGAGTCTAGGTGTATCATGGTGTATTTGGGTGACTGACAGCACAACTTGATGAAGACCTTTTTGGCGCATATTCTATGTTTTAACACACTTTTGTAATCCATGTTGGAACCGATACAGCTTCCAAAGACTGCTAGTAGTCGCTTCTGCAGGCCACAGATCCAGCATGATCCAGCACTTACTCACATTCGCAGAGATGAATTATCGCGGCATTACTCATGACTCTCCATGTTCAAACACCTTTATTCCTCAGATCGCCATGTCAATCGGATCTGAAGCTAAATGGATCTGTCGACGGATCGGAACCTCTCTCCAATCGAGAGTCTCAGTGTTCTTGAGGGTACTTAATTCATTTCAATTGAGTTGTAACATGATGTAACAAGATGTAACATGTATATAGTAAGATGGACACGTGCCACATAGAAGGAGTGGACGTTGCCTTGCTCACGTACTCAGGCCCATGCCATGCTTTGATGTCATCAGACTGGACCACAGGCGTGATGTAGTTGATCTGCAGGCCGGTGGATCCATTCCGCCGATTCTTCCGCGTGTTTTTGACGCCTTCGAGCAAAATATTCAGCTCAACTCATATCTAAAACGCTCGCGAATGGAGTATTGACGGATTCGCATCTTCAGGAGGATTTGATGGTCCGAGTACAGCAACAACTCGGCTCCCGAGACGGAGGGAATAAATGGTGATGTTGCAACAACACGGTATGGCGGTATCACCATATCATGATTTGGCAGCGGTTCAATCTCTAGAAATGAAAAAGGATGAAAAAGGAACAATCACCTTTGTTCCGTGAAAGCCGTCTCTTCAACCCAAATTTGCCTGTTTACGTTCAACAACTGTGCTGTTTTCATCAACTGGCTGAGCCTGTCACGAATCGACCGTTTTCCATGTTTCTCACTGAGCCCCTGCCTGGTTGCTGGCGCCAGTGCTGAGCTGGATCTCTGGCTGATCCCAGTCGTTGGTCTTCATGACCTGAAACAGGTACGGCCGGCCACTGGATCTCTGGCTCAGCGAAGAACCTGGCAAAAGGTCCTTTAGGATCCTGACCAGAGGGATCAGAACCGTGGCAACTGCGATGCAAAAAACGGAACGGGGATTGGATTTATTTATCCCAAGTTACCAGGTTTAGAGTACAGTTCAGAACTGTCAAACCATTCCAGCGAGCGACATGAATCGGTTTCCAATCATCCGAGCAGAGACGAGGTGCAAATGCAAAGATGTCAATCAAGTTGTTTGGGCAAGTTGTTCACAGGTTCTGACTTCTTGCTCTTCCTTTGGTACAAAGTTGCTCTTCCTTCGTTGCTTCACTCTGCTTCACATGATGTTTCGAATCGTATGACCGAACTGATTCCCCAGCGAATCCGTCTGAGGACTCGGCAATTCGAGGAGGGTTGTTGAACTTGTCCCTCTTCACCACCTGGCGGACCGTTGATGGACATCAATTAATCGGATTGGTCTAAGGATTGGAGAACCCCCATGCCAGGTTTGAAGCAATCAGCTAGCTTAAAAGGCTGAAGCATTTACTTCAAAGATCTTCAATTTAGCTTCACCACGTGCCTTTCCAGACTCCTCAGGCTTGATGAGAACCAATCCCTCATCGCGCCTCAAAAAAACGGGTGTATCTGAAAAGATCAGACTCTGGGATCAGGATGGATCAGGCACAGTGCAGGGTTTAGGCACTGTCACCCCACTGAAGTCCGATGTCCAGACTTGTTTCCAAAGATGTCAGCGCCTCCAGTAACGTCGTCCAGTCTTCCAAGTGGAAGTCATATCTCCAAAGAGGCCTTTCTTGTAAGGGCAACCCCACGTAGCGCCGTGGATGTTCGGCGCTGGGGAGGCCTCAAACAATTACCTCCCTAGTCACTGGTAGTCGTCTGTTCATGTTCTTCAGTGGTCAACGGTGTCCCGGTGCCATGACCCACTGGGTAGGAACCTCCTTGACCAAGTCAATCACGATAGGGAACTGAATGGTACAAACTCCCCCAGCCGGCAAGAACTACTTTTGTTCCTGCGTTGAACGCGCGATGGCCTCGGAACAAACATGGAAAACAGGGCGTGTGAGCTGCATCCGATTTAAGCCTTGAATTGTTTCTGACCAGCCACTCGTCCACTGCTCTGCGTGTGGCACCTTGACTACCTCGGGACAAGTCCGAAATATCAGCAGTTCATTAGTGAGCGTATACATCCAAAGTATTCCAAAGTTATAAACGTTTGTGTTGCTGCTGTTCCTCACGTTCTACCCGTTAGCCTCATTTGGCTGGCGGACTGGGAGACTAGGTGGGTGTTCTATCCCACCTTTCGTAGCTTCAAGTGCTATGTTTTGTCCTCATCCGCCCGAATTGCCCGGCGGCCTTACATCCCAGAGGGCTCGTACTACGACTGTCTTGCAGTGACCTCACCCTTTGTAGGGAAGTTGTTGGTCCGCAAGAAGAACCGTCAGCTGGGGCCTTCTCCCACCGGCCCGCCACGTCGCCCGCCCGCCCGGGACCAGCCCTGGACCAGCCCGTGGAGGTTTGGCTCGTAGTATCCCCACGGCTCCGAATTTGGGGGGTTCTGCCCCTTGGACGTGCGTGGTTCTTGTGTCTGTTATGTTTCTGTATGAGTTCACCTTCCAAATCCAGCAACTTAAGCAACAGAACTGGTTCCTTGCGTTCCAAGTGAACCCTGTGCACGATCATGCACAAGGAGTATCAAGGACTTCAACTTCATAGTTCTGCTTGGTTCACCTTGTTTGTGCTCAGGTTCTGCTGAAACACATGTGAAGCTCAGGTCCCGCTCTGTCGGGTCTCATTCCTCCAAGCTGCGAAGGCTTTGGGATGGCGCATTGGCAAAGAGCCACCTGCGGGCGGCTTCACGTCCGGGCGGAACAATGCAAGTCCAAGAAGACCACCGGGACCACCGTGCTTAGGACAGCCTTAAGACTTGTAACACGTGTTGAACAAAACAGCCACACCTTCTCTTGTTAATCCGCACGTTGTACTTGAGCAGTCTGCAATATGATGCAATATGTGACGTTTGAGCGGTCTGAACATGCCGAAGGCGTCCTCAAGTTGTGCTTCTTCTGCAAAGCATCGATGGCGATCCCGATAAGTCTGTGACGGGACCCATCAACCAAGCGAGGACATCTCCAAATGCAATGCAAGACACGCTGAAAAGTGGCTGCCAAGCAAAGCGCCTCGGAACTCTCACTAGGTTTCCTCAAGGCCATATTGGTGAACATGAAATCTGATCCGTTGTTAAGGCACATCCAAGGCACAAGCAACCACCAAAATCAAGCTGGTCAGACGTGCCATGATGCCTGGAGCTTAGGCTTCTGTCCCCCGTCGCGTCGTCGAAACGCCCCGTTTTCAGCTCCAAATCTGGCTGGTGACTGGGCAAAGAAAGAAGAACTCGAGCGACTGGTCTTGTTTCTGTATCCACTCCTACAGAGTTCTTGTTGATGTAGCGCACTTTATCGTGTATATATATATATATGTGGCGTAAAGGTAGCGAGATCGTGATGGAAGGTGTCGAGATCGTGAGGGGGCCGATGAGGCCAATCATCGTGATGAGGCCGATGTCTAAGGCCAGGAGCCCCGTTCGTAGCGTTTGCATTAATGTCATTAGCATCCAGAATGGAGCACTATATAGTCACCGTCGGACTTTGGTCAGCAACGATGAGTCCAACGATGAGTCCTCCTCATATCACATCTGGGGATGCAAACAAGAAAAGTTAATGCATAATTACTGGGGTTTGACCATTGCTATCACTCGTGTATTTGCATCACTGTCGCGCCCGTTGTGAGAACTGTCGTCCTGCCTTCAGTCGTCGGATTGCCAGCAGGACACGAACCGAAGGGGTCTGCGGGACATGACCATAACATGACCACCGTTCTTACCACTCCTCCGGCCACTCCCATTCTTACCAGCCGAATTAGACTCTCATGGACTGTGAGTGCGCAACACAGCCATTTGGGTGAGAAGAGTCTCACCCAGACAACTCCCAACACGTTCAGCAGGAACTGATCCCTGCGAAACTGCTACAAATGCACTGTGTGTGTTTGTGTGGGTGTGTTTGCAACACATTGCTTGTAAAATATGTATATAATATATATATATATATTGTAATAAAAATTTGAAGACTTTTTTTGGCACCGCTGAAGTAAAGGAATTCCATTCGGCCATCTCAAGGCCATCGTTTCAATGGTGTTGGACTCCCTGACACCTGTGGTGTTCCCATCAAAACAAAACAAAAACACAAATCGACTCTGTGTGTACTTGCGTGGTTTACCTGCTAATCCTTTCACCGTGCTAAATCACGCAAGCTGCTCGGAATTTCTCTTGGGCTGCGCGCACTTAACGACGCCTTTCAAAAAGGCAAGGCGCCAAGCGCATCCAGCGCGCTTGGCATCCCTTTCAGAGGCTTCTATCCGCCGTCCGACACTTGTAGCTCCTTTCAGTTTGTCAACGTGCAAATGTGCTGAGGGAGATATCTGAACTCTGTCTGGTGAACTGACTGATGCCTCCACTGAACACATTTCCCCTCTACTGAACTATAGATAATGGAAACTATGTCCGCACATACCTAAGCTCCCCTCTTCCCAACACCTGCAACCTGGTATGGGACTGCAACTATAGTTGGTTGCGGATTTTGTGTTGGAACCGTTGCCGTACTGGACTGCCTTTTGTGAGCAAACAGGAGCTCCCAGGTGAACAAGTACAAGGTTGGTGCTTCAGGGCCCAGGGCAACTGCATATTGTGACAAAACAAGCGATATCGAAACCATTGATATCTTTCAGAACTTTTGCCTCTATTTGATCTGACTGACAGCGGTGCGCCAGGATCAGTCGTAGCAGTCGTGGAATATCATGTGTGACCAATGTCAACATCCGTATGCCTACACAAGGCCAGCTTTGACATGTTTTGGCTATGTCTTGCGAATCCTCTGAGAAAGCGCTGATCTCACAGCCTTCAGCCACTCACCAGTACAAGGTATCTGGGAAGAAGCGCTGGATTTCGATGAGACCACCTGCAGTTCAAGCTGCACTCACTATGACTACTGGCTCCCAACTTGCAACCAGGAAATGCAGTCCACTGGCCCAAACTGACATCGTTAGTATACATGGTATGAATTTCAAGCAATTACTGTCCATTGGGCACATAGAAAACTCTTGCACGAGCAACATAACAAGCAGCAGTTAACAGGAGTAGGAGAACAAGTCCATTGGTTTTCCGTTTTTCTCAGGACCCGAGAAGACCGCGGTTGGTGAGCCATGAAACCCACGGTGGTGAGCCCGATGATGGCAAAGAAGTTCACGTTCAGTGACAACCTAAGCTCTCACAGGAGGAGTCGAAGTGACGTGACGCCAATTGATCACATCATTGGATACTGTACAAAACAATGTTGCTGGAACCACCTTGAACTTTGCTCATGCAAGCTCTTTCTCAAATGTAATAGGTGGGAAGTGCTCGCTGCACCAAGGGAACATAGGGAACTGGTCTTTCAGGGGAGAGAGGGTACCTCCTTTCAGCTTTGGGTCGCTGCTTCGAGTTTGCACCAGTTGGAGTTGCTTCATGTCCTTTGTCCGAAAAGGAAGGTGTGCGTTTTGGATGGCCTATGGTTAACATTCAATAAAGTGGCTGAGGTGGCTTCTTTACATTTCTGCGGGAATAGTAATCAAACCGCTGGGGAGTCGAATAATGAGCTAGGTTTCGTTAAGAGTCCATTGAAACACCATCACCCCCCCTTTAACAGGGGGGACGTGGGTCAGGGTCAGTTTCTTTTTCGACTGCTTAGGACCTTAAAATGGTGGGAAATATTGGGAGGTAATGATGCCAAACCATGTGTAAAGTGCGAGCTTCAACGAATCTCCTAATCAAATGGCTCCCTTTTGAAGCGTACCTGGATTGAATGAATTCCTATGACTCTCTTTTTATCTCTTTTTTCTCCCTTTTTGTCTCTAGCTCACAGCGCCAATGATTGGCGGGGACTTCGTGTCCACGTTGCGCAAGAAACACCTCAGCCTCTCAAAGTCATTGGGAGCATCAGCTTCAGACTTTGGGCACAATGCATTCAGCTCAGAGAATGCACACTTTGCATATTCTTTCCTTGGCATTCCAAAGGGTCGGGCTGTTTCCCCATGGCTATATAAACCACCATCGACTCCAAACAGCCAGGAGCTGGCATACGCACCCGCAAGGAGCACAAGAAAGGAGACAAGAAGACAAGCACAGAGAGAGAGGAAAATCATCGTGACAGCCACCAAGTTCCGGGGAGACAAGCAGGGAGACAAGAAGGAAAACAAGACAGGAGGCAAGCAGGGAGAGAAGAAGGGAGCAGCAGGGAGCAAGTTGTGGGGGGACAAGCAAGTTGGCAGCTGATTCAGGAGCAAAAGCACAAAGAAGATCTGCTGTTGGAGCAAAGAAATTCAAGGGGATGTGGTTTCTCAGGGGCCTCTGCAAAACGCCCGAAGAAAACATGTTCAACAGTTGGAACTGTTCTCCTGTCTGCAGATGCATGAACTCTTGGAAGGTGTTTTGGCGTTTTGGCGGCAACACTGAATAGTTGCATGATTTCACAGTCTACAATTCGAAAAATCTGCGACGCTTGAGCATGTTTATGCACTATGCACCGGTCCCTGTGACAGCCGAAAGAAAAGACATTGAAAAACGGTGATGGGCAAATGGCCCAGGAGCGGAGGCAACTGGATGTCAAAGAATCCTGGCGTTCGAACACACATTTCCTCCCAGCTCTTGCAAACCTTGACGCCGCCGTTCCTGAATTTTGCCATCCTTCAAGATCTTGAAGTTGAAGCGCTCGAAGCGTACCTGAATTGAAAGTCTGGCACCGGATCTCAGTGCAAATTCTGAGCGGTCGGAAATGGTCATGGGTGCTTGTCGTCGTCCCATCTGTCTATGCAAAGGTTTTGCCCAACAAAGTTTGGGTTGGAGTGAAATGAAACACTTTTCAGCACAGAAAAAAGTCAAATGCTGTCAAGATAACGGGAAACTCACTAGGTCTAGATCCTGGAAGGGAGCCCCAAACTAATGAAGCACCCCCAATCATCTCCTAGTGGCTCCCAGCTGACTTCTCAGATCTGAAACACGTCTGGCCGTACCACCAGTACATGTCAATCACCCCATCATGGGAGCGGACGCGACTCTCGACGCTCCACGACATGTCCCCGTCGTGGAGCCAAAAAAAAAGTGAAGCTGTTTGGAACACATTATTTCATTCTGTTTTGCACCTTGTCCGCCTATGTAGAGAAAAGTTGGCTCAAATTGTAAAAAATGCTGATGTCCACCTGAGCCTCCTGCACTTGTGAGTCATGCTGGACCTCTCATTCCTGATCTTGCCACACCACATGTTCCGGCCTACAAAGCCAAATGGCTTCAAATCGAACCGCGCGTTGCTCACCCTCCGTTCAACAAACATGGGCCTGGAACATGGGCCCCTGAAGCAACCTTTTCCGCCTAAACTCTAAACACAAATGGGTTTTAAAATCATACACAGATATACAATCCAGCCACCCACCCAAAAAAAAGAAACCCAACATGTAATTACATTATGTCTCCCCCTGGCTTGAATTACATAATTAAGGGGGGGTGATGAAACACCTATACCAATCCCATCTGCAGAATCACTTCCTGTTGCTGCATTCATGCTAGCAAATGCGCAACACCTTGTATGATTCTTATGAATCTGTTCCTTGCTTCCATGTCGATATAGATCCAATTAGTAAACGTGAGCACAGACCTACAGGTTGAACAAGGCGCAATCCGACAGGTAGGCTTGATACATGATATAATGATATATACATACAATTGATTACAATTACATATATCTTTCTGGGTGGGCGGGAATAATGACTCCAAAACAACAAACTTACTCCGCCTCTGTCTACCCAGTCCTGCCCAGCCCAAAAGGACAGAACCAAAGAAGCCAAGCTTTGATGTCGTCCGACTGGACCACCGGCGTGATGTAGTTGATCTGGTGCAATGGACGGCAATAGACGTGGTTCGTTCTAGACGTTTCCTCCAATCACTTTCTTTGTGGCTAATCCCAACAAAGTCTTTGTGGCTTCTTCATTGTGGCTTCAAGACTGATCTTCATTTCATCTTCATTTCGTGTTCCGTTCTCTTTGTTTCGCCTCGATTCGTGAACTTCTGTATTCGTCCTAACCGGTCCTAACCAATAAACAGTTCATATGTTTCATAACCAATTACGGTCTTAACCGGTCCGTTCACCAATGACTTCTCACCAGGATGTTGGCACCCGGAGGTCAGACCGGCACCTGGTTGCTGGCACCCGTGCTCAGCTGAATCTCAGGCTGGTCCCAGTCGTTGGTCTTCATGACCTGAGGAGGTCAGAAGGTCAGACGGGCGGACCCGAGTGAAACCGAGTGAAACCGGTCGTCTCGGTTCAAAAAGCAAAGGTACAAATGGGATCAAATGGATGATGGTTGTGACTTGTGGCAACACCTTTCGTTCCAAATACAGGGGACCTCTTCTAAGAACCCCCCCTGAGGACCCTGGTTGGTCGGGTTGAGCGTGGCTCCACGTTCATGTGTTGGTCACCCACACTCACGAGACATCAGCTTGAGGATACACATGAATCCTCGACCAATGGCTTAATGGCTTCCCCTAATGGCTTCCCCAGGTGTCAGAAGTGGTTGGAAGTGGTTGGGAAAAAAGTCCACAACAGACTTTTGCAAGGCTTGGGGTTTCACTGTGATGAGTGATGAGTGTGGAACATCATGTCATTGACATCATGTCATTGACATCATGTCATTGACATCATGTCATTGACATACACTGCGGGCAGGTTATATAATTCTTTGGTTTTGATTCAACAACCTAACATTGGAGTGAAACTCTGCCGTATTTGCAAAAGCATGCAAATAGTAACCACCCGGATCAGGGAAGTGCGAGAAACATGTTATATCATGATGAAAAATGCGCTAGGTGGAAACATTCCGCGATTCAAGGGATGAATGCCATTCTTGTCCAAGAATGTCCAAGACAGTTCAATCAGCCTTATAGAATGATCCGTCATGATCCTGAATGACCCATCCGGCCAAGTCGGAAGCTTCTTGGAACACTACTAGGAGGACGCTACGAACGGGGCTCCTAGCCTTACTAGTAACAAGAACGCTACGAACGGAGCAAAGGGCATCGCTACGATGCCAAACAAGGACACTACGAACGGGGCGCATACCCCCAGTTTGTTCGACCCCCCGGGCACCTCCTTTTAAACCTTTCGGGCGCTCCCGACTCCTCGCGACACGGTCGCCGTCACGCGGCTCAACCGAACCAACGGTCCCAGAGGCGATTCGTGGAGGGTTGTTGAACTTGTCCCTCTTCACCACCTTGCCGGACTCCTCGGGCTTGATCAGCACCAAACCCTCATCTCGCCTGGGTCAAAGGGAAACACCGACAAAGAAAAGAGACGAATACATGATGGATGGATTAGGAGACATCAGGCCCTTCGTGAACACAATGAAGATCGATTAGGATGGATAGATGTGATGAGATATTTATACAATATGCTGATACATGATGATACATGACATTCACTCAAATTAGTGAAAGCATCATGTTCATGATCCACTTCTTCCAATCTAGTTCGACATGCGAAGTACCACAGTGACCACCTCAAGAGGGCACTATTATGTTCCTTTTTTGTACGTTGGCCTCCCGACTTAGTGGGAAAATCACATCAATCCAGGCATTCTGAGTCGAGGCACCAATAGATTCAACCGGCAACATGTCAGTTTCAAATAGTTTAAACTGCAATACCAAGAGTAGTTTAGGTAGAGGTTACAACATGTTACAACGTTGAAACCTGACTTACTTTGAGTCGAACCAACATAGTGGTTCAGGCGGAGGTGCACGTTGAAATGACTTGGCCCACGAATCTCAAAGCATTTGGACCCACAGCTATATACATGGCCATGGCTCGATAACATGAGGCCATATTGAGTCATTAGTTGACTCAGAATACCGTGCCTCCGTCAGAGACCTTCATGTTGACCCCACAAATACGCGATGTCTTCACATCCGTCCATCAGGTCTTCATCCGTCCGATCCAAGCAACTCATCCACGGCCCTGGCGGTCGTTCGGCTTCCTGGGCCGTGGGGGGATCCGACGCGAGCTGCGGCGTCTCAAGATGTCTCAAGCAAATGGAGAAACTCAATATGTCCCTTGCAAAAGAACCAATTGACGAAAAGCATCGAAGAGCCGCCTCAGTTTTGGGGGAATACCACTATCATCCACTATCCTGAGATGCATCCGCCCTGGTGCTTTTGGGTTGGATCGCGACCAGAAAGTATCATTCAGAGGTCAGTTGCCCCCCCCCCGCCAAGACTGGACACTGGGTGGAACGAATCAACTTGGTGATAGGATTGCACAAGGCAGCATGCCCAACCCAAGGCAGCACTAAACAAGAAAGAACGTCGAAGAAATAAGACGTAGATTCTCAGTGCTCCATATGTTCCATATTTGAACTGAGAAGTGAAGCGGCTCGGAAACCCCTCCGACCCCATGTCAACCAAAGCGCGAAGGCTCTGGGTTGGCGCGTTGGCAAAAAGCAGCCTGTCAGTCCGGATACCGCACAGAACAGGATCTATATCTACCAAAAATCATACACACACACACACACTAAGCTTGTTCCTGGACAATGTTCGTGAAACGCCGCTGTATGGGTCACAATATGTCACAATTGAATTCTCAGACTACAAAATAAAACGATTGAGCCAAGTTGTGCTAAAATTCCGCTTGTGCCATCCAACTGTTGCAACCATCTTCACTGGAGTGTCAGGAAGCCAAGACTAATCATGAAACATTTAGTTAAAGCTTCATGGCAAGTTCCATGTGGTGCAGAGGTGGCACAGTGTTCGAAAGATTTCCATGCTCTGCAGACGTGGCAGTGGCATCTCTCTCACCACCACGTTCAGCTTAGGTGCGTGGAAACGCGGCTGCCAAGCAGTGCACCTTGTATCATCGCTGCTGGCGTGTTTCCCTTCAAAGGCAGAAGCTACTAGTAACAAAGGGCATCGGAACTAGGAGCAAGGACGCTACTAGTGGCAAAGGGCATTTCTACTAGTAGCAAGAAGCTACTAGGGTTCCTTTTTCAATTGTACGAGTACGATTAACCCTAGTAGCTTGCTGTACCTTCTGCCATCCGATAAATCGGGTGCCAAACATTGCTGCCACGGGGCAAGCGACAAGCAAGACAAGGCTGCTGATGCGGGCCATCCTTCCTCAGCTGATTGAAGTCGTGCTTAGGTTCGAAAGCTTGCCATGCGCCCGCGGCAACCAGTCCAAGAGGTTTGGAACTTTGTCATGCGCAAAACCTTGCTCCTAAGTCATGTGTTCCGAGGAAAGTGGGTACAATGAAAGCAAACAAGGTTATACAAGGTTATACAGTAATCAAAACTGATTTAATCTGTCTTGAGTCTGGAGTAGGCACACGGTCAGGAGGGTGAAAAACATATGGTCCAAGGCCCAAGGGTTAAAAAAGAAGGGAGCCCAAGGTCTGGAGTCAGTCATGTCACATCTATCACAATGACAAGAATATGCCGTCCTCCATACATGCCAAGCAAAATGAGGTTCATCAAAACAAGTCTCTCCGGTTTGTCTTCCACTGCCACTACATGTCTAGATCTTCTAGGGGTCCCCAATTTCCACCTTTTTCTTGTCTTCAACATCCACCTCACCCACTTCCCCGGTTGCAAGGCACGGGAAGCGACGCGGAAGCTGCGCAGCTTGCTTTTGCCTGAGCCTTGAGCCCTAAGTCTTCAGCGGTAAGCCCTATGGAGAATCATCAAATCATCGGACCCATTCGAACCCCAAAATCTGCGGTCTCAAACCTGCGGATCAAGTCGCCTACCCCCGTTGGAGTTGAGAAACTTCGCCATCCGCATGGGAAATTGGCAAAGAGGACAACTACGGTACACTTGGCAAGACACACGTGGGATATCACAAATGATCACAAATGACACAAACCGAAATGGATGAAGTCATTCCACTGGTCTACACATGTTCACTTTTGTGTTCGGGATGAGTGTGTACAAAATAAAGAAAGGTGCCCTGAGACCTTCCAGCGCAATCGGAAGCCCAGCAAAAAAAACAGGTGTCTCCACAGATCTCTCAATCTTCCCAGTTCCCAACAAAAAAGAGATCCCAAACATGATAGGTGTTCCGGTGTTCCTCTATAGGTCCCAACTATTTCAGGTGTTTCTCTACTCTCACCATAGTTCACCCTTTTTGGGATGGACCCATAATCATTCAGTCACCTCTTGAGGTTGGCACAGTGCCTGGCACAGGTACCTTCCGCGGTCCTCCTCCGGAGCCAGAGGCATCCCCAACGTTTGCCGCATCTTCAAGCACCTGGCAGCGGTGCCAAAGCATTTACGAGTTTTGGATAGGATAAAGAGCCTCTTGTTTTGTCTTTCTTTGAGATTGGATGAGATTGGTATGTTGTTGTGGTGTACCTCCACCGAACTGACATTTGACATATCGTTGACCCATGGACCCCAGCAAGCAAGGGCAGTTCCACAGCTGTCTGCAGAGTCCATTCACGTCCGCCGTCGTCGAAGCCGAACGGTCTGCCGTCCCTCTTCGGCCTGGAAGGTGCACTGGACCTCAGCTCACGAACTGGTAAATCGCCAGTGCCAGCTATCCATGCAACGCTCACTCATTTATCCAGACACAGCTGCGAAACCCACAGCCTGGCGCAAAACAGCCACCCACGATGATGACTGCATTGAGCCTGATGAGTTCAAAACCTGTTCAAAACCGGAGCGTTGGCAATTCTGAGACCATCGACCCACAAGCAGCCATTGCATCACGGATGGCCTCCAAGGTTTGATGAATGCGGCCATTTTGACAGGACATCTGCTGAAGCAATTGGCCTCAAAAATTAGAACATGCAGTGACTCCAAATGTATGAGATGAGAATAGTGACTATATAATTGATTAGTGTGATTAGTGGGTTTTAGTGTCTTTGTGGTGTGTCACCCATGCCAGGAGACAGTCTGACAAACAAACGTGCCTCTCGTACTGCTGCGCTACCGATGCAATCAACCGCACCCTCATTCTCCTCTGCGCCTGAAACAATATATAGATTGCAACAGCAAAGGTCAATGCCTCAGCCCTTTTACTGACATGCCTTTGTATTCGTCTCAAGGAGTTTTTGTGAAACCGAGCTAACGAACAAGCACTCACTCGAAGTCGGGAAATCGATTCAAGACACCAGCATTGTCGCCAAATGCACCCGCTTTGGTCTCACCTTGCACTCAGCTTCTGGCCTTCGACCATGGAGGACAGTTGTCGCCATGCTGTCTCTGCTTGGCCTGCACAGCCACCAGTTGTAAGCCAGACTCCCACGAGCGGAGGAGGATGGAACATCTAGTGGAGCTAGGGCTGCCAAATGATAAGTTGGTCTATCACTGAAACATGTGTTGCCCAGCCCGTCGTTGTTCAAAATTCTGTTCATGCCTGCAGCATCCCATGTCCTATCGATTGATACACTTGGGATGCCGGAACAGGCTCATAGAAAGGCACACTGATGACAGCTAGCTTTAAAAAAGCGTGGACTCGTCAAGGTCTTCAAGCGTGGCTTTCATTGCTCTCGCGCTCTCGCTCTTTCTCTCTCTCTCTCTCTCTTTCTCTCTTCGGTGCCCTCAACACGAACAGCTCAAATTTACCCAACAGTCCATCCCCAACGAAAATGAAATCAAAGCCTAATCTTTGGAAACATGTGCGTTGCGAGTGGGCTAATAATCAAGGTTCTTTGAACAGGTGGCCATGTTCCACTTCACCCTACCAAGTGATTTGGATTCACATTCCTGGCACGTTTTCCCAACATTGCCTGTGTGCTCGGTGTCCTTTGAAGGACGACCTAAGTCCAAGCCACCCTTTCGATTGAAAACCAATTCGTAGGTACTTCCCACCAGACTCAAGGTCGTCATGAAAGGTAGGGAAAATGCTCCCATGGCATTGAACCTCCATGTGACCCCCCCGGACCAGTCAGCTCGGGCTGTTCTTCCGGACAACTCCCAGTCAGCTCCGTTGGACGCAAAGCGGACATAAAGGCGGACGCACCAAGTGTCAGGACCAGAGCTTTTGGAGTCAAAGAAGCGCCCCAAGGCCTCGATGACGCCGCCCCAGGTTCGCAGAGGTCACGGGCTTCACAGATCTTCACAGCATGAGTGTTTCCAATGCTAGCTGCTAGTAGCTTCTTGTTCCTGGTAGTAAGGCCAGGAGCGCCCCTAGTAGCGTTCTTGCTCCTAGTAGCGATGCCCTTGTTGCTAGTCAACCAGAATTCCCTGCATGCATTTCTTCAAACTTTGATGTAAGTGCTAAACAGCAAAAGAGAGAGAGAGAGAGCGGTGAGACGGAACCACAACATTCATCTTGGGAATTGCATGGAACTTAAATGAATTTATGTAGATCCATCATTTCGGGGGGTGCGACTACAGCTTTGTGCAGCTCACTTGGATGCACCATCTCACCATGTCACATGTTTTTCAGGAACAGCAAGGATGTTCAGTCAGCTGACAGAAGTCCACAGTATGCCTGATATGTGATACAGCATAATCCTGATATGCAGAAAAGGAACCCGTCGCTGGTTCATGAAAGCTGTTTGAAGATGTGAATGCTGCAGGGCACTGTGATGCTGTGATGGTGCGTGACACCCAAACACCTGTTGTTATTTTTTGGACACATTTGGAGACCTGGGTCGAGAGTTCGACCATCGAAATGGCCCTCAAAAAGCCATGGCTTTAAAGAAAACATGATGGAATCAAAAGCCTTGAGGCCTTGAGCTCTACAGTGAAGCTATTAGGTTGGAGGCCATCGCTACTAGGTCCTAGGTTGGAGGCCATCGCTAGTAGGTTGGAGGCTATTGCTATCAATAGGTTGGAGGCCATCGCTAGTAGGAGGTTGCTATTTCCACAGTCGTGTGCACTGCATTCGTGTTGCATCGTGTCGCCTTGGCCCTTGCGCTGCTGCTGCACTTCTCTGCTTTGGACAGCAGCTCTGAAAGCAGCTCCGCCTGCCGCGTCCGGAAGAAGGATGTTTTGGGGAGTCATTTGCTGGAAGAATATCCAAACCGCACTTGTGACAACCAAGTCACATCCGTCCTGATCAGCAGTCCCAACAATAATGTTTAATTAGCAATAAGCAGGTCATCCGAAAATTATTTTAAAAAAAGAAAAACAAGAATCCAGAGAATCCAAATCTATAAATTCAGCTCCAAAAATGCAAAAACAAAACTCAGGACAATAATGACTGCAGATTCTGTTGCATTTATACTCACAAAGGAAAGCAAAACATGTAAGCAAATCAAAAGTGAAAGCAAATGAAAACAACATGTATATAGGCAAATGAAAGCAAAATGACAACATGAAATAAATACAAAAATATTCCAACGTCCAAAACCATAGGTTTTAACTAAGAACCCTTACGAAAAGCGTGCAAAGGGTACCCCTTACAAGTGCCCAGGACCCACTCCCTATTGTGGCTCCTGGTTTGCTTTGGAAATCTTTGGAATGTTTTCGCTTTCTCTTTCTAATCATTCTCTTGCAAATGAAAGCAAACGAAAGCAACATGAAGCAGAATGAAAGCAAACAAAAGCAGAATGAAAGCAAAAGAAGTGAACTCCAAAGAGGAGACTATTATTGCAGCCCACCTAAAAAACCTCTTTACCAAAAGATTGGAGAGGCTGACCCCCCCCTTAATACTACTTCATCTCAAATACCCAGATTGCTACAACTCAACAATACTGTAATACAAGAAAATATGGGCCGTGGCTTAAGGGGACTCCCTCTCAAGGCCCCCCTGGAATAATTTATAAAAATTCTGACCCCTAGTCACATTGATGTTGGAAATTATTCTGGTATGTCATTCACCTTTTAAACATCTGGATGCAAAACCATATTATAGACAAGAGTTGTGCTTTGCACTCAACTGTTTTTCATCCCTGTCGCAACACCGCTCAAATCATTCGGTGTGAAACCCCAAATACCGTTGGAGAGACAATACGCCTACATGTGTGTACATCTTGCAATATCATTCCAAATTTATTCCAAATTTATAGGTAGTACCTTGAACCACTACCTAGCTAAAATGTTATTCCAGACATATTATTCAAAAAAAAATATTCCAGTAGGTCTGATGACCCCTGGAATAACTTTTTAAGCCACCCCCTATAAGAAAATACTCAACAGCACACAGAGTTGCACATCCGCGCCCTGTTTCCGCCTTGGTCCCCGAGGGGTTCTTGACACCCAGGAATTTCAGGCGAGCGAGCAGCGATGCCTCGAGCTCTTTGCATCATTGCTCAGCCCAGTGTGGTTGACAGCATACGTCAGCATGGCCACAATTACATTCACTCACATCAAAAGCACCTGCAAAACAAACATGACAAACAACTGCCGTTTTGCAAGCTTTGGAGTGCCGGAACACGTTCAAGATGAATGATGAATCCTGAATCGAGACGTTTCCTCCACCGGGTTTCACCTTCGAGACGTTCTGGAGGTACTCGCAATGAGGCTCCAGGCTTGACCTCCAGCGATTCGCCAACCATGGACGTTTCACTCAGGTGAAACGCACCAGCGATTCATCAGAACAAGTCTATGTCATTCTATGCTCCATGATAATGTACGGCATGCCATGGTATGCCATTCTATGTAATTCTGGCGAAAAAATAAACCGTACATTGTGCAACCATGGTGAAGCTGGTTTCTCGTCCACCCTGTTTGCCATGTTCTTCATCGCAAGCTGGACATCGCGTGGGCCCCAAGGGGCTCCGTCCGTCCCCATGGCAGACTGCCTCGCAAAGAAGGGCTCAAAGTGCTGAATCAATTGCAGCGAGTTCACGGCCTTGTCGGCCAAAGCCTGGTCGGAGGGTTTTCTCGACACCTTTTGTCGATACCTGGACCTGGACCTGCTCAATAAACCCACAAACAAGTCTCTTCCTGACTTCTCTTCCTTTGTTTCGGACGCGAACTTCATGACATCGCATCTTCATTGGATGCGCACCCGGGGGTCATAGAACTGTATTAGTATTAGTGTTTGAAGAATACGGTAGATTCTTGAACAATTGACGCCATCAACAGCTCAGCGCCGCAGATTCTGTTGGGTCACACAGGCTCTTCCATGGCATGTCCTCTTCCTCAGTCCCTGGATGATCCACGTTCGTCTCCGGCCTTCACATCTCGCGTGGCCGCTTTCAGCTTGTTGCGGCGGAGCTCGAGCTGACGTTGGCACTCCTCCTGCCGCGTTTTAAGGGACATAGGACGAAGGACGATGCTTCGACCCCAAAGACGTTCGATGTGTTTCCCGTGTGTCCGCCGGGTCCCTGCACACCCATTTGTGGGTCGTTTTTGGAGCCAAAAGACTGCCAAAACAGATGGCCCAGACCCCCAGGCCTCTGCACTGCGAGTCTCTGAACCAATGGAGGTGCAAAAGTGACTGCAAAGCTTCAAAAGACCAGTGGTGGTCTGGCCAATGGCCTGGAAAGCGTCAGTCATAGACCAAACGGTGAATGGATGGAGTGACTCGCATGGGTATAAGTTCACAATGGCAATAACATGCAATAACGAATTACATGCCCACATGTTTTTGTTGTGTGTGACACATAAATTCTGCACGAGCTACAGTACCGACCAAGCAAACTGAGACCTTCAGCGTTGGCGAGTACCAAAGCAATGATGGCAGGTCAGGTACTACTGCATAATTACTCAGCTGCCATCAAACATATGTTGCACACTGTTGATCACTTCGCCACAGGATGCTGGATGGTATGATACAACATGTCAGCCGTGTGCACAATCACTTCGTTGTACTCGATTCGAAATCGGATGTTTGTTTTTCAGAACGAACCGTTGAGCTGGCACCTTCAAGGCCTCCAAGTCTTGAGGCAAAGCCACAGGCTGCGTGAGTTCCACGTCTTCCTCCCGCTTGCTGGTTTCTGTGAGCGCTTGGTAGAGCGCACGCTCCTGTTGGGCCAAACGAAGATCAGTGTTGTCACTGATCTGAGTCACACAGATCAAGCTGATAAGGTCGACGTCTGATTCGGTAACCAAACGGTCTGATTCGGTAACTATGATTCGGTAACTAAAAGCGCTGATTCGGTAACCAAAACGTCTGATTCGGTAACCAAATCACCTGATTCGGTAACCAAAACCGCTGATTCGGTAACCCAAACCCGCTGATTCGGTAACCAAAACTGCTGATTCGGTAACCAAAACCGCTGATTCGGTAACCAAAACCGCTGATTCGGTAGCCAAAAGCGCTGATTCGGTAACCAAAACCAGGAAACCAAAACCAAAAACATTTGCAAAAGAAGAAACTGATGACCCGGGTGGTAGTGGTAGTGGTAGTGGTAGTGGTAGTGGTAGTGGTAGTAGTAGTAGTAGGTGGTAGTGCCAGGATGCAAAATCTCTCCGCGAAGCAACAGGAGAAACGTTATTATCTTGGCCATGATTCCCCCCACCCCCCCACCCCACACTCCTCCTGCCGTCCGCCACTAATTCTTACCTGAATGAATGTAAAAGTCCTGTGCATCCACATGGAACGTTACAGTATTATCTTGGCCATGATTCCCCCCCGCCACGCACTCCTCCTACCCGCCATATGCTGTTGACAAACTAAATCTTACTTGAATGAATGTAAAAGCCCTTTGCATCCACATGGAACATTATTATCTTGGCCATGGTTCCCCCCCACCACCCCCCCCACCCCACACTCCTCCTGCCGTCCACCACTACTTCTTACTTGACTGAATGTAAAGCCCGTTGCATCCACATGGAACGCTATTATCTTGGCTTAGTTTCTGAACAGTCTAACTTGGTTTCTGAATCGACTGTTTTGGTTTCTGAATCGGCCGTTTTGGTTTCTGAATCGGCTGTTTTGATTTCTGAATCGGCTCTTTTGGTTGCTGAATCGGCCGACTTGGTTTCTGAATAGGCTGTTTTGGTTTCTGAATCGGGACTCGCTTGGTTTCTGAATCGGCCCGTTTGGTTTCTGAATCGGCTCATTTGGTTTCTGAATCGGACCATTTGGTTTCTGAATCGGACTGTTTTGGTTTCTGAATCGTAGTTGCTGAATCGGCCATTTTGGTTTCTGAATCGTAGTTTCTGAATCGGCTGGTTTGGTTTCTGAATCGTAGTTTCTGAATCGGCTGTTTTGGTTTCTGAATCGTAGTTGCCTGATCGGTTGGTTTCTGAATCGGCTAATGACCAGCTGATAAACCTTGCTCACGTGTCAAACAAAAGAGCCAACAGATTGGTGCCTTAAGTTTCATTCAATTCATCAAACTCTTATGAATCTGGGCACCAGGCCTCGAGCAAAGTAGAAGTACTGTAGCTTAATTTGCTCATGTTATCTGAGGGCTACAAAGTTTGTACTACATGTACTACAAAGCTTGCCCAAATACTTTTTGAATTGGTGTATATATCGAGCCCAAAATATTCTGCACCGCCGACTGAGAGTGCAACGCCCCTAGCCAGGCTCAACGGGTCACTCTCACTCCTGACAAAAGTAAAAACCTTCGGCCGTCCCTTGCCTTGGGTGTCTGCCGAACCGTCACAATCTGCTCCTTGAGGTGTGGTGAAGATGGTGAAAGATGGGTCTTTCTCACACTTGGCAAATGAAACAACGTTAGCTACTGACCTGGAACAAAAATACCTGGCCTGTGTACCAAAGGCCAACAGTCTGGCAGCTCGAAAGAATTCATGTCAACACAATCTTCGAGACTTCCTTCCGCTCCTTATATACATGTTCACATGCACTGTCATTCCCTCAGAACTCTGCTCAACTCATCTGGCTTACAGTACAACTGCAAGACCCTTATTTTTTGACTGCAGAGACCGAGATACTCCTTCGTTGTAATTAGCAAGCAAAGCTCTGCCTCTTCCCAGCGCTCTGTGTGTGTCATGCCTTTGCTTTTCAGTCGACCACAAATATCATCATACTAAAAGGGATGTGGTGGTCTCCACTGAGTCTCCACTCCAAAAGACACCAACAAATTTTGGGTCCTCCTCCTCAAGCGGAGGAAGCTCTGCAGTGTTCCGGCGCACGAAGGCATCAATCCATTCCTGGATTGGAGAAAAACAACTAGACTCTAGACTTACATGAGATGCTTTTCCCGAGGAGAAAAATATTTATCAATCAAGCTCTAGCGTTTATGATGCACCCATGTCAAAGATCTCCAATATATTGAAAAGCCCGCGGTTGAAAGCATCTGACCCTCCAATACAAGAATCTGTCAAGTTACTATATATATACACATACTGTATGTATATATATATATCTGGATCTTTGAAACGGCACAAATATACAATTACCTTTTCAATAATAAATGCCGTTACGACGTCTTTTTCCAAAGATGGTGTTTCTTTGTTGTGACCAGCAGTGGAAACCGGCAGAAACAAAAAGGAAACGGTGTTTTGAGGGGTCAAAACGGCGTCTTTAGGCGTCCAAACGGCGTCTTTCCACGTCCATGGATTTTGAGCACATGTTTGCAACCCCTAAAACGGCATAAACGGCAATGTTTTTTGATTACGGCGTCTTTTCACTGAAAAATGCCTGCGGCAAAAATTAGTGCCGTTTGAAGATCCAGGTATATATGGTTGTATCATCTAGCACTCCCCACCAAATGATAATGAGTACTAAAAAAATAGTGGCAACCTTGGCCCCCTTTTGACCCTCAAGTTTGTCAGACAGGGCCAGTCCTGAGCCACTTTTCGCTCTTCCTCACGATCACCCTGTGGGAGTTGCACACCCATAAAGCCAGCGGCCTCCAGAGTCCGCGGAGTAAACAAAGGTTTTGCAGGAGATGTCAGAACATGTCAAAACAATACATTGACATTAACGAGAACTGCTGTTGCTGTGCTTGGGAACCAAGGTATGGGATGTAGGTTGCACCTGCCCCAGCAGTCATGAAGTCTATTCTCTTTAACTTGCTACCCAGCCTTGCGGATATGTTGCAAGGTCTTGCATGGTGGTGTGCCAGTGAGGCCCCACCTCACAAGCTGGTCAGTTGATATGGTCCGGCCTTTCAAGTGGTTTGAACATGCTTGAACGTCGTCTCAAAATCACAAAAAGCAAAATCAATGTGTGTATATATATATATATAAATCTATGTGTATAGACAATTGGGTCAGGAGCCTCCCCGTTCGAGCACACCAATGTCATGTCATGTCAAATCTTCCAATTTCCTTCACTGAGAGCGCATTGGGGTGTTCCCTTCTCCACCCTTCTCGTCTCCCATCTGCGGTGAGCCACTTGAAGTCGCCATGAAAGAGTTCCACCGCCACCTGCGCTGGGGCATAACGTGGCGTCAGCAACTCGTGGAACTCGTCGCACACCACGCGGCGCCACCAGAAGGCCTCCCGGGTTTCAGGTCTCGAAGGTCTCAGGCTATGAGGTGAAAGGGTGAAGCTCATGGAGCCTGGACTGGACGGAGTGGACGGGTTTTGTTGGAATGCTGGTGAGCACAAATAATTGGATGAATTAGGATGTCTTCTGGGCCTGTTCATGGTTGGCAGGAATTGCATGGAATTGCTGTGGTTGACTTGAAAAAGGGAGGGAATACATGTCACATGTCAATGCAACAACCGCGAAAACTACGTACCCAAATTCCTCTATCCTGCTTTGGTCCAAGTGCTTCAGAGCACCTCCAAAGGTACGAAGTGCTGCTGGTCAAGGGTCATAGGCTCCTGCAGGTCGTGGTGCAAGGTGAAACTCGACTCTTGCAGCTCTTGCAGATCGCGTCTCATCACCTGGGTCCCTTCAGGTCCCAGACCCAGGTCAGGTATTACAAAGTCAACGCCCTCAGCCTCAGGCTGCAGCGAGCTCTAAACGCCCGAGGCCATGGCCTGCTCGCCTGGGGTTTCATTTGATACTTAGCATCTGAAGAGTCTGCTTTGTCTAGGTCCTAGGTCGAGCAAACCCGGCGAACGCTTCGTTTCCATCGGGTCAATCCTGGCTGAACGCTTGGGAGCTCTGCTTGCCAAACAGGCGCCGGCGCTTGGTCCACTCACCCTGGGACCACAACGGCACGTTTCACATTGACAATCCCGTCAGTGGTCGTGTCCCATGTCTTCTCAAGTCATCCCGGAAGTAAAACAGCAATCCAAAGCCATCCAAAGCTACCGATCTGATGCTACCTTTCTGCTTTTGTTTCCCTCGTCCACCAGGTAGCCATCTTTGGCAAAGCGCCCATTCCCAAGCGGAACGCGAGTTCGCCGAAAGGAAGGAACGCCACGGTGGCGACCCCACGGCTTCGTCCGCCTCCAAGCCCAAGCGTCGCGCCGACCAGGTGGGTAAGGCCTCGAAGGCTTGGCGATAGGCCTGACACGAAGGAAGAGCGCCCGCAAAGCTTCCGGCGTCTGTCCGGTCGACCGGACAAAGTCTGTGGGTTCTCCTCTGAAAGAGTGAGACACTTTTTGAGCAATCCAACTCCCATTTGCGTGCCTGAGCCCACTCCGTGGAATTTTGGCCTCCGGCGCAAGTGAGATTATTAAATAGCATCACAGGTCAGATGTCCGAAGTGTCTGAAACCACTTCAGGCAAATGATTTCAATCTTACTTGGATGTGTTGTAGTGTGAAATATGGTGCTTGAAGCTGCTGTTGTCATGCCGAAAGCACACCCCTCCCTGCATCCTCTGGCTATGAAGACCGAGTTCCTATAGATATTATACATTCTTCTTAAGGGGAATTCAGCACTGGTAAGGCCCCCATAGATTGTCTTGGATCCCATCCTATCAGCTCCTAGGATCCAATCCTCCAGGCCAAAAAGGAACGCCAAACGGCCTATGACTTGACGACTCCCAAGTCTGGTTTCGCCGGGCCTCCCTTCTTGGGAAATGTGAAGCCCAATAGGCTTTCGCGCGCAAGCTCCTCCAGACGCTCCAAGTAGGCTGCAGAATAGAAAAGCCTCGCTCTTCAGAGGAAGGAGATGGAAGGACGGAACCCACAAAGCACAGGAATGGAGTAGCTCAAGAGTTGGATGATGCATGTTCAATTTCATTCAATTCCTAACTCTCAGGCGGGTCTTGGATGGTCAATGATCACCCATTCATGTCCCATCTAAAGTCTTGGTCACAGGTCACAAAGCCCTGTTTTCAGGTCTCTAAGAAATCTTGAATGAACAGGCTTCCAAGCCAGGCGTCAACCGCTTGCCAGGCTATTCAACAGTTGAAGATTTGATTGTAAAGCAAACTCTGCTGAATTATGCTGAAATTGACGGCGGGCCACACCGGCACCTCCCATGGACAAAAAACCCTGCCATCATGCAAAAAGTTGTGCGGCTCGGTTCTAGCCACAAGCAGCTGGTCTTAGAACTTGAAATCTACCAGTGTCTCTTTTCCCTATCAACAGACCCAGTGAAGGAGCTGTCAGTTGTTGAGCCTTTGTCCGCGAGCCTCTGACAAAATTTGATGATGAGGGCCAACCAAGTGGCAAGTTTTCGGACCAACACATGTTTAGTTTCCCTTGCTTGGCTTCTCTTATGTTCAAGGCAACACCTTCGGCACGCCTATATGTGGCCACAACCACGTCAGCCTCCGCCAGGTCTTTCCTTAGGTGTTGACGGTGTTGACTGTCCATTGCGGTGCCTTCTCATGCATGCTGGTGCACCAGCAGCCAAAGGGTCAAAGCCTGAAAATCCCAGAACTGGTGATGAAATTCAGTGGGATGATCCACGAAACATCCTGAAGCAAGGGTCAACCAACTGTGACAGGTAGGCACTGCCAAGACTCATGCTCAATCTCTTGAGCTGGGTACAAGTAGGCACCGACAAGACGTTGAAGGCAGGGCCTGTGAACCTGAGGCAGCAAGGACATTGCACTCAAACTGACAGCTCTTCATTAAGAGAAATTACTGAACATCACTCGCCTGACATTGCATTTTTAACTCAGCGACTGTATGCCAATGCCGTACGCCAATGGCATCCATCATGAAACGCAACAGAAGTTGAGCCTTCTCTAGGGATTGCAATGGGATTACAAGCAAAAGCAGTGTGGTCCGCCAAGTTTGCGATGCTGTTAGGTGCCAGGCTGGTACAAGCCCCACCTGGTCCAAGGTCCCTCCGGTGCCTAAGGCTCGTACTTCTTGATCTCTTCAACCCACTGGCGCTGCAAGTTGCTGGGAGCCAGCACCAGAGTGGCACGACTGGGAACGAATCCTGGCGGATGCGGCCAGGATTACTGGACCCCCGGATGATCAACGATGATCTTATTGAGTTTTGACCCAACATGACCCAACGTTTAAACCATGGACGTTCGCTCAATCGATACTCACTGATTACCCAACGCATTTCTCCTGTTCAATGGATCCGATTGAACCGTTTCTCTCTCACTTTAATTTAGTCCAGTGAACTTCACCTGCAAGATGGACCTCGGCAAGTGCCAAGGGTCCATTGAATATCTCACCCTGGAATCGCCGCGCATTGAAACTAGGTCTTCTAAGATTCTACTCCATTGAGCAGTAGGGAAGCAAATCCCCGCACCACCCGACAGGCCTCGATACGGCATGGGCACCCGAGGCATGGGGAGGTCCTGCTCGTTCGTCATGAGTCATGGGTCCAAAAAGAAGAGGGGCCCAGGCGCCCACCCCCCTGCACAACATCTGGCTCCAAGGTTCTCGTTACGCATTCTACTATATGTTGTTTTCTCGCAATCTCCTGTTTGGACTTGGTTCTTTGGGTGCACCCTGCACACAACGTCAACTGCCTCAAACGGCCCTCAACGAAGGTCTGGGGCAAGGGACATCGGTCAATCCGGTTTTGGGTTGCTCTGGCTTCCAAACAGCCAGGTCCGATACAAGGTCTGGCTGAACGTCCTTGGTCTTGTCGATCAAACCAATGGTGCATGCCGTCTTGCCGTAGCCGATGGCATCAGCCAAGACACCACCGCGGACTCCAAGGTATTCGCACCGCAAGCTGCCTGCAGTGGAGGTTCGGCCGGTGTCAAGGAGAACGGCTTGGTCTGTCGTTGCATCCCAATGAGGTTCCCAAGTCTGTATAGGCACCTTGTACAAACATCGTTCAATTCGCCATGTCACAGGGAAAAGCACCGGCCCTGAGTGAAGGGTTGAACAAATTGTGAGAAAAACATGAAAAACCACTGAACGGAAGAAACAACAAAAGACTATTTGAGGAAATATGGATCACAAATCATCACAAGAACCCCAACCAACCTCCACAAGATCTGTGAAGCTCCAAAACTTCAGCAGTGTCCAACTCACGCATGTCTCACTCACTCATGTCATCTGAGAGGTCAACGGCAGCCGGGCCTTCCAAGCGCCAGTGGGCTGCATCTGGACAGAGCTCCGTGTCTCGAAGCTCCGTGGCAAAGGCCTCCTTCTCTGGTCGCTCCTGCCGCGGAAGGCGTGGTACGGCTGTCCGGGCCGGGGCTGAAAGGGGCTGAAGAAGGGGACATCTGGAAGAAGGTTCAACATGCCTTAACATCACAGAAGTCGAGAACTCAAGGAATGTGGATAAGTTCCCAAACTGGTAGACACTGCAAGGAACCCCCACCTATATCAAAGGATTCGCACCTGGTTCAGCATCCAGCCCAAGGATCGCAACTGCTCCCGGCGCAGGGGGTGCTCCACAAAGTGGGGTGGCTGCGTCGTGGCGGGATCCTGCAAGTGTCCAACACGATCCCCGGATCCGCCGGCTCAAGATGGCTAAGACCGCAGCAAATTACAAGGACCCATGGCATAGCGAGATACACAAAGGGTCGTGGGTTGTTGATCCTATGTTCATCCTCTTCCGTGATCAACTTTCAGGTTGCCAACCATCAAGAATCGAAGGCAGATTCGATGGTCATGCGCCGTCACGCTCGTCACCAAATATCTTCAAGTCGCGCGTAAAGCAGGTCTAGGGTTGCGTGTAAAGCAGCTTCGCAATGAAACTCGCGCTAGACCATTCGACCGCAACCTAGGCAGTCGTAGCCTTCATGACCTTCTCAGTCCCCTCTGCGAAACCAAAGTATTCTGACGGCGATCGGGACCTAATCGGGGCCTTCACGGCCATATATGTTTTTGTTCACAGCCATAAGGCTAGATATGAGGCTAAATGACCAAATGACATCCAATGACCTTGGTATACCTTGGTCACTTTGTTCCAACAGCTGTACAGATGTATTTCAGTACTTCGACCCATCCGGACTGACCCCAAAAACGGCCAGTTACGGTCCACCGAACAAAGTTGGCTTCCGGTCCGAACGAACGGGGCGACGAACTTCGACTCCTCCAGGTTGCTCAGGATGGAAAACTCGCCCACGGAGGCCGAAGGAGCCTTGGCCTCTTCCTGGCCGGTCAATCGCCACCACGCGAAGCAGCGCAGCCGCGGTGAGGGTTTGGACCGAAGCCGACCGATTGAGTGGCGACCCGACCCGGAGTCTACGTGGCAAACTGCCAGAAGTGGCGAAGGGAGAAATGTACAATATAGTCCCTTCTTACCACTAGTAGGGATGGCTTCGAACCTACTTGCGATGGCCTCCACCCAATAGCGTCCTAAAAATATAGAAATGGAATCAGCTTAAGGATAAAGCGACGATGCGTCGCTCAATGTGCATCTAGACACAGTGTGAAGTTGCCTCCCCAAGCCTAGCGAGAATAACATTGGTCATTGCATAGTTACACCACATTAAGACAGTGATATGAAACAGACAATATTTACAGCCCAGCGACGGACCTACTAAAATCGATCAAAATCGCAGACTGCCTCGGCATGAGAATCCTGCAGGCGCCACACAAATCGTGCAGCCGGCAGCAAAGCCCCGCGGCGAAGCATGCGGAGCAGCAATGCACCTGTCATGCGAGCACTGAATGGTTCCATCCGCCCAACCTTGATATGTCATTGTACTAAGTTGATCAAGCCTGGAAACTTGCGGCGTCCCAAACACATTGACAAACATATATAATAATAGATTAATTTAAAACTTAAAATACAACTATATTCGATACCAATAATGTATATTAATATTATTACTATTATTAAATGTTTAAAATATATTATACGCTTTTTCCGACACGGATTGCCTTTGGCATCCTTTGGCACTGAAAGAGGTTGAAAGAGGCGATCCAGCCCATACTCCATTTACACTTTGTTCGAGGAACCTGGTCGCACCATCACACGGAGCAGCTCCTTCTCTGGGTGGATGTTGACCGCCCAAATCTGCTGCTCCTCTGCACAATCGCACGAAGGCTGCTACATGGCAAAGCTACCTGCAGAGGTTGTCTTTTTGTTCAACAGTCGACACTCGTCAAATCTTTTCACCAACCCACGCCCTCCTGCTGGTCAACTTTGGAGATAAAGCTCTCAGACGGTACCATTTCCATCTGCCATTCTTTGGCAGCGGCGGGAATCTGGCCGACGACAAGCACTCTTGCTCTGAAGCATCTCAAAATATTCCTGATGACCTTGTAAAGAATCGTTTATGTACACTGCCTACATTGCCAACAAGAAATCGGTTGCCAACTAGACTTTTCACACAGGGGTAGAGGATACTCTGTGGCCCCAACAGCATAAAGTACCACTTGGGCGAGGGAGAAACCACCAATTAATTAACACAACACCCTATGAAAAGAGCAAGCAAATCATGACTATTTTGTTCCACGCAGATTTCCAGAACCCCGGACCATCCACTCTAACCGGTCGGCCCGGACCATCCCCCCTCGACGCGCGGACCGCCTGGAGGAAGTGCTCCGGCGGAATCGGTGCCAAGACCGAGTTCTCATGGCGCCGTGAGGCAAACAAGCACCGCGTCCTGGACGACGTCGTGAGGGAAGAAGGCTGTGATGCGGAGAGTCGAACTCGTGGAGTAGAGGACGTAGTTATATGTTCGGAATCTCAATCCTGAAGCCATTGGAGGGGAGAAGATAATCAATAAATTGATATAATATATATATATATATATGTATCATGTAAAGAGTAAATCTTCAAGGAGCTGTCACTAGTGCAGAATAGTACCAATATCCCGTGATCTCGTCCCTCCAACTTGCACCAAGGTGCCCGAGTGCTGTGTTGTTCCCGGTGATATCAAGCCAGGACTTTGGCAATGTCCTCTTGGCCAAGTGCACAACCACGCTGTGGAAGCACTAATCAGGAAGAATGCTTCAAGATGCTTCAACATCAATAAATTGCAAGCATAAATAGTCCTTTTCAAAATAGAATCTGTCCCTGACATGCAACTTCAGCAGCACTATATCACGTTCAACTATTAACTTGCAATTTCCAGCAATTAAACTAATGCAGCATGTCATCGAGGGGAAATTGAGCACAGAAGAAAAGTCTACCACTTGTGGAGTTCTGTCATCCAGGATCGGCAACAGATCAGAGAAGAGAAACGCGGGATCACTATTTTCTCTGAAGGGTTTCAACCCCTAGATTTGGTGGACCTCAAGGGTACAAGATCTATTTATTGGGCGCGGCGTGGAGAAACAACTTGGGTCGGGCTGGGTGTACCTTGTTTGCTCTACTGAGCCGCAGGACATTTAGCAGCGCTCGAAAAGGTTGGAGCAGTCAACATCCAGCTAATCAGGTGAGGGGCAAGTTGTCATCCAAAGGTTCCACGACACCCATCAGAATCATAGTGCAAAACGCATTACTGCACAGTGCATAGCGGCTTAGCGAGGAAGAGGGAGAAAACTGTCAGACCCGCAGATCATGTTCAAACGCGCATGCTTTTCAGAATGTTCCTCTTCTTCCCTCCCAGTAAAACCTCTTGGTGGTTGAATTACGTTGACTTGTTGGTTTGGATCCACTTCCAGTAACCTCCCAACCTTCGGCCTCGAAAATCCCCTCCTCAAGATTGCCTCCCCCGATCTCTGAAGTGGCAACGAGGCTTCCAGCAGCAAAACCACGTCCATGAGGTTTGGAAGGGGCACTGGAGCCGCCAAGATACGTATTTCCTCGGAAAACATCCGTTACAAGGATTGGATAGGGAACGCAAATGAACATATCACCCGTATTCACCCGTTGGTCCTTTAATTTCAATAATTTCAATACCTGCACCATGGAAACTAAAACGTTACGTCCGCAACCCTCCACAGTGCGTGCAAATCACAGAACAACCGCAACAATGTCCTCGATTGTGCATGTATTGACCGGCACACGTTTGTCCTGGTTTGGGCCCAGTTGTGAAGTCATAGAAACCGAACCGAGAACAACTACTAACGGTAAGGAGCTGTCCTTGGGCACTAAGTCGTCGGCCAAACCATCCGTGGCAGCCTCCACAAGCCCCATCTCGGAAACCTGTCAACGGGAATTTTTTCGCAAACGAGAACGGATCCCATTGAGGTCAGGCCCAAGAGCTTCGTAGTTCTGGAACCCAGGAGGCGAAGAACTATCTGCGCAGTGAACAATGTGAGAAAGCCCAGGTGTTTTTGTTGTGTTTAAGCAGTGACGCCGCTTCCAACCAGCAGGCTTCTGAGTTTTAACTTTTTGTTGCGTACATAATTGGCCAGGCTCCTCTTAGTATTTGCCTGCGGTATGAGCACACGTATGAGAGCACACACATGAGAGCACACATTTGAGAGAACACGTACAAAAGCACACGTGAGGGCGCACTCACACACACTTAGCTCAATCGTTACTGCAGAAACGACCTCAGCTGCCTGGCAAAGGCCCTGTGCAAACCGCAAGGTGAAGAGGTCGGCAACAATATTGTTTACATCATCCGACCGTGAAACTGCAGGTACGCATCAGGAAGTCTCCCGATGTTTCACAAGAGAATGTGGATGTCTTCGTTGGCGGCGATTCCACAAACTTTGTCACTGCCCCCTGCTAAGTGCATATGTAATCAAAAAAGTTACAAAAGGTACTTCTAGAGACGGAGTTGGGCACACACACACACACACTTAGTCATTGGGTTTGCAGTTCACTCTGTTCCACGAAGAAATGGATGAGGGAAACGCAAGGTGAAGCGGTCAGCGCAATTGAAGTGTTGAACTGTTGAACAAGTGTTGCAATCGACGATCAACAAACTCGCGGTATGTATATATAGCTAATTATATATATATAGACATATATATGTGCGCTATCTCCATCACCGCACCAACATGCCACCGCTCTTAGGTTGGAGGCCCTCGCTCTTGGGTTGGAGGCCATCACTCTTAGGTAGGAGGCCATCGCTCTAAGGCTCCACAACTATTCCATCTCAATGTCCCAAACACGAAAAATATGTTCTAAGTGTAGGTGTTGGGCTATGTTCTTAGTGTAGGTGCGAGGTCCTGGGATGTTCTTACTCTAGGGCTAGAACATCTGCTGGCACATACTCTTAGAACATCGCGACCTACACACTTAGAACTTCCTGCCTGTGAAAAAGAGATGTTTTACCAAAGTATGTTCTAAGTGTATGTCTTACAGTATATATATATATATATGTGCGTGTGTGTGTGTGCGTCACACCCCATCCCAAGGGGTTTTAATCCTTCCTCAGAGATCTTACATTGTTCCAAGCAAGGGACTGGTGCGCAGTCTTGGAGTCACCTGCGGTGATATCCGGAAAGGATGCTTTCCGGACGTACCTGCGGATGACAACACTCCAATCTTTCTTGCTTTTGTTTGGTTCCATGGTCCTTGCGTGATAAACACCAAAACCTTGCCAGCTGAAGTGTCGCTGTGCCTCCGCAGCCTGCCGCGAGTTTGTTGATCGTCGATTGCAACACTTAATAGTTCAAATGCGCTGACCGCTTCACCTTGCGTTTCCCTCATCCATTTCTTCGTGGAACAGAGTTAACTGCAAACCCAATGACTAAGTGTGTGTGTGCGTCGCTGTGTCTTGAGTCTTCCCACTGGGTACACAGTGTGATCCTCTCGCAAGAGAGGCGCCGAGACCATCGTGGATCACAGTTTGATTCAGCGGTTTTCTGCGCGCGTTGGCGTTGGATTATGGTTCTGGGATCCCATTTGTTTCACCCATGAATCACCTGATCGCAAAGCGGCCGCGCCTACGGAGACCCTGGCCCTACTCGGATATCTTTCCTCTGCTAGGTTCTCCACCACCGACCTTCCACTGAACTCGCTGCGCAGTTTCGGCCGCTTGTGTGTGTCACACCCTGTCCCACAGGGTAGTCCTTCCCCAGAGATCTTACACTGTTCCAAGCAGGGGAGTGGTGCGCAGTCTTGGAGTCACCACTAACGAAGACACTCCTTGCACTGCTGTGATATCCGGAAATCAACGCTTTCCGGACGTACCTGCGGATGACAACACTCCAATCTTTCTTGCTGTTTTTTGGTTCCATGGTCCTTGCGTGATAAACCCCAAAACCTTGCCAGCTGAAGTGTCGCTGCGCCTCCGCAGCCTGACATATGATGTTCTAAGTGCGCTGTTTTCTCTTGTTCTGAGTGCTTGCGGTCCATGTTCTAAGTGTGCTTGGACGTTCTAAGCTCGATGTTCTACGTACAGGGATTTCCATGTTGGGAAGAATTGACGTTCTAAGTGTATGTCTGCAAGTGTATATATATGTATATATGTATAGGTATGTGTGACGTAAGTGCATATATATATATATATAAATATAAACAGCGGAAGATTGAAAATTAGAACGCCGTGCGGCTGTCCAAAAAATTCCACAACATCAGTTAGAATGCCGTGCTGAGGGGCAGTTAGAATGCTTGCGTAGTAGAAACAATCAGAAAAACACGAAACAAACTTGCTTATCGCCTGCTGTTTTGCGATGTATTCTACACTTAGAATGCTAGGATGATTCTGGGCTGATTCTAGGCAGTGTCCAATGGCCTGCAACATTATAAAACTGCAAAACACTGCAACTCCCAGTTGGGTGGATGGTCAAAGGATGGATGGCAATGGACAGGCGGCCAGATGGACATGGATGGAAGAGAGTTCCCAAGCTTTCACCAGCGATTGAACCAACCCCGCACCCCCTTTTGGCACGTTGCGCCAGGCACACCACACCCGTTTCAAACGAACGCGTCGCTGCCCAGCAAGATTCCATTTCGCCGGCACTGTCTTTTGCTTCCCCGTACGCTAAATCATTGAAATTGATCTGTGATCTTGCAAGGCTGGATAGCCCCAGCTTTGGTCCTCTCAAGGGCTGGATAGCCCCAGCTGCCACTAGTCACATACAATCACACACATACATGGATGTAGGTACACGCATGTGTAAATCATGTACACATATATGCACAGAACAACAGGTACACACATGTCAAAAGGCAATCAAACAGGAACAGTAAGAAGACAAAATGCGATTGAATTTTCAAACATATGTTGCGATTGAATTTTAAAGCATTTTGCGATTGAATATTAAAACGTGAAAGCACAAGAAGAGCCTTTTGCGATTGAATATTGTTTTCGAGCTACAAATGAAAAATCAGTAGAAACGATTGCACTTTCACGATTCACAAATTCAATCTTGGAGCCTTTGGGCAGAATCACTTCCTTATAGAATTCCGATCCGATCTGGCGCACAACGTTCGAGTTTTTGTGTATAGGACCAGGATCGGCCGTTTCGTGGCACTGGAGATGGCTCCGAGCTCGAGATACCCACCCCAACTACCAACGCGAGATCGCTCATTCAGGTAGCCAACAAAAGCAAAATTCGAGTTTCATCCTTGTGACTCTTACCGTCCCAATGTCAATTCTGTATTCACCCACATTTGCTCGCGTGAAGGCGACGGCCAAAGCACGAACCTGGCGATGAGATCGCTGAGCAACCGCCTTGTACAAACAGTCACCCTGTCCATCGTTCTTGATGGTTTCCACTTGCGAAGCGATGTTCTTGGAGAGACTTGATTTGGCCTTTTTGGGCAGAGGACTGGCTCCAGCGTGGGCCTTAGCATCATCTCTCTTTTCGGACTGTCCAGCACTGTTCGCGTCAACTTGCATAGGTTCTGCAATCTCGTTTGCTTTGGCTTCATCTGCATGCACCTGTTCAAGTTTAGGAGAAAGAGGAGAAGGGCCAACGGTCCTCAAAGCTTTTCCCCCTCCCTTTACCCGCCCCATCGAAAAATGAGAAAAAACAACGGGGCTCCTTACGAAGCTGTTGTGTTTTCTCATTGCTCCAACATCTTTTGGCTTCTTTATGGTAATCCAAAAACAATTCATCTTGGGCGTCATCAGCCAGGGATTCAACTGGCACATGGTCGCAAGAGTCATTGAAAATCCACGCGGCTCCGCCACGACGATGCGCTCTGGTCTGAACGTCAATGGCATCGAAACCTGCTTGCTTAGCTAATGCTCGACTTGCTCAACACCCGATGTCCTAGGCACTATTTCAAGACGCCATCTGGAACGAGTGCGCGTGAGCCTGGAACCACCTGGCTGCACACGGACTGCAAGTTGAAACTTTCCTCGCGCAATCCCGGAAGCTTCTGCCAGATCTGCAACGCGAATTGCGCAATCCTTAGCATCTTCCTTGTCCTTCTGCGCGACCCGGATTCTCCATGGGTTGGAAAGCCCCTATGTTTCTGTTTGTTTCACTGTGGCCTCTTGCGCTTGGTCTTTTGTCGATGGGCTGCAAAGCCCTGGTCTTTTTTGTATGTCTTTGTCGTGGCCGTCTGACAGCAAAGCTCTGTTAGATTTTCTCCCGTGGGTGTCGGAGAGATTGGAGAGCCCCCAGTTGACAGTAAAGCTTTGTTAGATTTCTGACTGGGGTTGGAAAGCCCACACTTCACACTAAAGCTGCTTCAAATTGCCTTGACAGCGAACAGATTTACCCTGACAGCGCACCCTAATTAGATTGCCTGCTCAAGTGTGAACTTTCAAACATGTTCCACCCAATTCTATCTGTCTTAGCGGCTTGGCGTTTTTGGCGGTGTGTGAACCGCATTCTATCTGTATACATTGAACATCCCCGTGTTCTAACTTTCGGTCCGATTGTGTATACCCTTGTGGTTTTGGTAT